CATTTCCATACTGACAGTATGTCTGTATTCAAGTGTTTTGGTAGGTATTTCAAGCTTTCCTGCTCCAGCATTGGAATGCCGGGCATGGACGTTTTTTTTTATTTTGAAAATCAACAGTTTGCATTATGCAATTAAAAATCCTAACCAATAAAGTAGGGAATAGCTATCCAACTGTTGTTTTAGTTGTATTTTACTTCATATTATAGTTATATCAATGTAAATCATTGTTTTCCCTTGTGTTTCCCATTCTTTCCCTGCCATGTCGTAAAATGTGGTGAACCCATCGCTGTATTTGCTCCAAAGCAAATATTGGCCTTTCTAGTTTTGCCTGTGTTTTCTGACGGAGGCTCTTATCCAATTATCCATAGGGACGTCCGTCTACGTGCGCTGGGGGAGGAAAACTTGTCCGACCAATCATGGGACAGAGCTGATTTACTCTGGTACGAGGTTTTCTTTGTTTACAAACCGTAGGATGTATACAAAAAGACGTAACGCAACAGCAGTATGTAGTTGTTCTTCCAGTTTATTATTAATATGGGACATTGTAGAACATGAGAGGACCTGTATAAACCAAACTCTACCGTCCGCGGCTTTATTGGCCGCCTGGATGTTGGGCGGCCGGCAACCGTAAAGCGATTTAGGCTAGCGAGGACCCTATAACATTCCCTGCATTTTGTTTTGATCTCTGATTGTTGGAGCGAAGGCAAAAACTTGGAACAACATTCGTGCGTGCACCATGTTCCTAAACAGAGAAGGGGCTCGGATAATACTTTTAAGTTTAAAAACATATATAAAGAAATTCCTCTGGACATGAACTTCCCGTAGGAAGTGCGTGGAAGAATAGAGTGAGAAACGTTATCGATTGGTATGGAAGCTGAGCATAGATGATTCCCCTATTATTATCAGGTGTGGCTGGAGGTTCGGCGCACGACCAGCCAGGCGGCGGGACCAACTACCAGTGTCTGCCGACCGACCCACAGTGGGGACGGTACCAAGATGGAGTCCAAGGGGGGAAGGCTTTCATGTACGGCGCTGAGTACCAGTTGAACACAAACATCCCGTTCGGCTCCACTTCTCTTCACGATAACGACGTCCCGTGTGCGGTCTGCTACGTCCCAACCCGCGGCAGTAAGTTAATGATCCCCGCCCGTAACACCTGTTATAGCGGCTGGACCCGCGAGTACCATGGCTACCTCATGGCTGAACACCACAGTCACGCCGGGTCTAAAGAGTACGTCTGTGTGGATGAACAGCCAGAGGTGATGCCAGGCGGACAGGCGAACCATAACGGAGCGCTGTTCTACCCCGTAGAAGCCCGCTGTGGGTCCCTGCCGTGTTCCCATGACCACTACGTGGAAGGGAGGGAACTCACCTGTGTCGTCTGTACAAAGTAGAACGTTAACCGTTGTTTCCTTCGATAGGAAGATTTTGCCATGGTAGAATGACTGTATGTATGTTAACAGCATGCTTATTACCTTCGCCAAGAAGGTTAATATGTTTTCCTGGCCGTGTGTCTGTGTGTCAACAGCATAACTCGAGAAAGCTTAGATGGATTATCTTGATATTTGGTAGGTGGGTAGGTCTTGATGAGACCTGGAAATGATTAGATTTTGGGCCCCCTAGCGGCTTGTTATGGTACTGCAGCTGAACTTCCGGTTTTGATATCTCATGATCTACACATGCTGGGGTGACGAAATGTGGACTGTAGGTAGCTCTCATGCTGGGGAAGAAGTGACATGAGTTTGGGCCCCCTAGCGGCTTGCTCAGGAACTGCAGGGCTATTTGTTTGAAAATATTCAAAAGAGGATAACTCAAGAACCGGTGGACGGATCGTCGTGATTTTTGGTATGTAGGTAGCTCAAGTGACGCTTGACATAATTATGCGACAATTATGCAAATCTGGATCTAATTTGCATAATTAATGGAGAAATTCTATAAATCAGCTGCATTACATTATAGGACTATTCAAGCTTGTGACATATGTAATTGAGAACGAGAGAAACACAGGCAGATATTAATTATGTAAATTAACACCTAATTTGCATAATTTGTTATAATTCCATAATGCTAACTGCCTGGAATTTGATGGCTGTCTTTTGATGGAGAATATGATCAACTATATAATACAATATTATAATACAATATTATAATATAAATATAATACAAATGAGGATTTTATTTGCATAATCAGAAGGAATCATTTTTGTCAGTCAGAAAGATTAACATCATTTGGCGAAGGTATGAGATCGTGGAACTCTAGTTAGCAATTCGATAAGCTGTGGTTTGATCTTCATGATATTTGGTAGGCGAGTACTGGCTGTGAAAACAAAGGTCAGGTTCGAAACTGGTTCACCTGATGTTTTCCTACGGTACTGTAGTGGGCTGTGTGTGTATTTCTGTTTACAACAGAACCAGAATCTGTGGATGTTTGTGCATGATGTTTAGTGGATGGGAAGAGATCGCAAAGAGGAAGGTCAAGTTCGACAATGGGCCTTCTTGTGGGTACCTAGCAGCTTGTTCTGGAACTGCAGGTGCATTTGTCCAAAAATGTTCGAGGGGAGATAACGAGAACCAGTTGACGGATCGTTTTGATTTTCATGCTTGATATAATTAGATGGCAGTTATGCAAATCAAGACCTAATTTGCATAATTAAGGAAATTCCAAAATTTTGAGGATGAAAGGAAAATCGGCAGATGTGTAAATGAGAACCTTCTTTTCATAATCCATACCAAAATGCTACAATTTCATAATGGTAACCGCTGAGAATTTCATATTGCATTTGGAAGCCAAGTGAAGTCATTAAGCATAATCTAGTCAAATAAGGACCTCATTTACATAATTGATAAGGACTTGCTGCTATAGCTTTTTTCTTTGAGATAAGACTTATTGGGTAGAGGATATAATCAAGTGATATAATTAATGCAAATGAGTATATCATTTGCGAAATCGATGAGAAACTTTTAAAATTTATCAGTTGCAAATCTTAACAGAATCTGGCGAAGGTATGAGATTATCCAACTCTTGTTTCAATTGCTTCCTTGATATGGCATGCTATAAATTAAAACAAAATAGGAAAACAATATTAAGCAGTTAGTCTGTTTATTGTGTTCAATAAACAATGCTCAAGCTGTGCCCTAGATATGATTAACATTTATACAGAACTAGAAGCTGTACATATAATAAAGATTTTCTTTTGTATATTCCACGGACAAAAACAGCACATTTCACAGATACAGTATGTAGTTATGCTAACCAATACAACTTCTGTTAACTCTTCATATAAATGTAGCATGTAGAAAGCAAAGATACAGTGGACAGCTAGAGGAAAGTGTTATCATCTCTGTTGTCAGACTATTTACCATTGTTCATCAAACATACAGCAATTAATTTTCATTTTAGAAGTTATTAGACTTCAATTTCTAACACATGTAAAGCATAATTTTAATGGTCCAAGCTGATTGTATTAAGATTGTGAGTAGACTGACAAAAAAGTATGCAGAAATATAGAGATATTATTCTGGACATTTTTATGATACTACACATTTTCTTTTTGTAAATCATCAAGAAGCTGTATCTGTTAATAAATTTACTTATGTTTTGGAACTTAATCTATATTCAAAGTGGTACATTGTACAAAAATGTACATGTAACTTTATTCTACATGAAGGCCTAGCCTTATGCTTTCTTGCAAAGCCTTATACTTTCTTGCAAAATAGGTGCTAATACATCTCTCTAGTAAGCACAGACATTAAGATAGTAGAAATATAGAGATTTGCTGCAGGTACTGGTACATGTATGTACAAACAAAGGTACTCTTCATCTGTCAGTTCTGGGTTGTCTATGGCCGGCCTGCAAAAAAACAACAGGAATATTTACAATGCAGATCTCAAGACACTAAGTTAACAGATAGATGATTTGCATTGTTTCATTAGTTCTTTGAATTGTTTCTGTTTATTTCCTGTTATTTTTGTCTCCTTCGTTTAAATTTTGTTTCATTCAGTATGAATGGGAACTTTTAATCTTATAGTATTGGGAAGGGCCAAAGATAAACCAGCAGGTTTCTGGCCCTCTCATGCATGTCTACGTTAGGCCACACCAATTTAATTTGTTGGTTCTCGGATTTTTTCAGAAAAAATATGAAGCGACAGGGACGAAAAAAAATAAAAATAAAAACAGGTCTAGGCATCCTATTATACATGTAGGCTTAAATGCTACAAAATGAGTCATGAAGTCAACACAAAAAGACTGGGTTAAAATTTAAACATTGAATTTGAACTTTAATCAAACCACTGCAATGATAGATGGGAAAACTGTAACAACTAGGAAGAAAAGGACTTTCCTCAACTGTTGGGGGCAAAACATGAGCATTTTTCAGTTGATTCAGGACCAGAATCAATTTTTTTTTTTTTTGCAAATCAGAAAAAAACCAAGAGGCGAATCCGAGAACCAACAAATTAAATTGGTGTGGCCTTAGTAGTACTTAACTTCAATTGTTATATTTCCTTTTATCTTGTGAGTGCAAAACAAACAATAAAAAAAAATTATAAGACACTTTGGTTTAATTTCAATCTGCATGTTTCAAAAGTACATTTTACAGATATCAAAACGAATATTTTTTCGACAGACATAATCAAAGAAGGGAAGTAAAAAATTGAGGTTTTTCTGAGATCACAAGTAGAAATGATATCTATACTACATGTACGTACCAAGTGTGTGCTCTGAAGGGGGCCTGGGGAGTGCATGTTGCAGAGTACACACCGGGCCCTTCCTGAGCAAGTGTTGTGGAGGAAGGTTCTCCTAGTGAGAGGGGAAACCACTGTCAGTCGCACTGGTTTCTTTAAGTGTCACATGACAAGATCTTACATTTTTGTACTTATTACTTACACACACAGGGCTCGATATACTTTTTCCTGCACATCTGCACTGGAGCAGGAAACTTACTTGCATCAGACAAATTTTACCTGCACCACTCAGAATTTAGTATGGATCAAACTAAGTAAAAACTGTTCAGAAACCATTGCCAATTAATTTGTATCATACTTCATATATGGTAGCCCAGTTCACAGACCAACCCAGGTTAGGTACAGGTCAAGACTTGAACAACTCCAATCCTACTTGTAACCTGCATTACGCAGTTGGTAGTACTAGTATTTCGAGTCCTGACACATATTTGAATTACTGCAACTTACATCAATCAAGAACGGTTGTCTTATTATAACTAGAAAAGATGGGATTGGTAAATAGACGCATTTACAGAAGAAAGACATTAATGCCTTGTTCAGTTATATATACACTGTAATATTAACAGCTATTGTGTCAGAAGTTAGACAGTTATCTTTCAAGGTCAAGGCAGTATTTGTATGTTTTATATCCCAATGTATGGCGAACTTTGTCTTGTCTACGGACATTCTTACCTTATCCTGACTTGGTCCTTGATTCTTCCTAAGCACTGCAGACAGATCTGGTGCCTGTCCACTCTGTAACTGGGCAGCCAAACCCTGAAACAAAATGGAACGATGTGCCTTTCTGAACAAAAATGTATGCAAACAAGGTGGAATCTAGCCAGATCTTTGTTTCATATTCAGCCTACATTCTTGTAAAAGTAGTTATCTATTCCTAGGTAGAATGAGAAAAAGTTTAATTGAAATCTTATCACATCAGTTGACGGTTACTTTTCTTTCAGGTCATACACCCCTTTCTCGAACAGTTATGTTGTCAGCAATTTTCAACACCCTCATCCGGTCAAGTGAACTACAGATATATGTTGACCTTTTAAACTCTAGATCACATGACTACCCTTGTTAGTAGTTGACGAAAGATGGCAAATGCTGTCTGAAACGTTCTATGCTTCAATTGTAAGTCGTAGAAATGAGTTTAAATCTTTTTTTGTTATAAAGATAGATTAGTGACGTTTGCAAAAATGGAGCAATAATTCTAGATCACTTTCACACTTTATATAAACTCTAAAGATGTTGAGCTGACCTTTGACACAGTGGAGATGGAGTTAGGAGACATGCTCTGTGCCTGGGACAGCTGAGTCAGCAGCTGCTGTATCTGGTCAGCTGTCATGGGGAGGGCAGGTGCAGCTGGACACGGCTGCTCCTTAGCACCTGATGACCGCTCCGAGTTCAGGTAGGGGTGGGCCAGCAGGTCAGCAGTGGACGGACGGTGGTAAGGGTCCCTTATCAGGCATTTCTGGGAGGGGGGGGGGCAGTACAGGACATGGTCAGTACAGAAGCTTTACATGTACATTTATATTCATGTCTGTAACAACTATATGTAATGGACTTTTAACTAAACAATGCACAGTCAAAACTTGGTTCAAAAGACCATCGGCCTATGATGGCCGGTTAGTGCCGGTGTTGAATTTCTCCACATAGAACTATGTGGAGTATTATGTACAATCATGCATTGTGACCAAGATGAGTTGGGTCCACAAGCTATCACAATTTTGCCTAGTATGACATTACTGTAGATAAATGTACTTGGTCAGGCCCAGGAAAAAAATGTTGTGTCTCCTATTTCCTGACCGACCCTAGAAAAAACTGCCGACCCTTTTTTTGAGGGGTGGACCCCTGTAAGGGACATAAATTTTTCAAGCTGAGTTATGAAATGTTGTACAATTAGTTTTCAAACATACTAGTAATCAATGACATTGAAATACAAGTGTCCCCATGCAAGTTTTACTTTGTTAGACTGTATTGTTATACGTTGGACCACAAGTGGGATCACTAGATCTAGAGATTGCCAAAGTTTAGTAAAAAAAAGAAAGAATAAAAAAAAAAAGATAATTCCTACCTACCAACCCTAATTTTTTCAAGACTGTTCAATCATTTCTTTCCTAGGCCTCATTTGAATCTTTCTGTAAAGTAGAGTAGATTATACACGAGCAAAAAAGGCCCTCAAACCTTCAGCACATCCAGGAGCAGTTTGTTCTTGATAGGAGGGAACTGGATCTGGTAGTTTGTGTCGACGATGGCCTGCAGCTTGGCGAAGTGGTTGGGGATGTGTTGGAAGGGAGTCTTGCCATACACCATGTAGTACAGGATACAGCCCAGAGACCACACATCACTCCGACAGTTGATCTATAGGACAGGATATGTTAGCATTAGTACGAAAAAAGGTCCATTTTTCTAACAGGACATTTTTCTGATTGAACATTTTTCTTATCAAAAAAAGATTAGATCTAATACCAAAAAAATACATTTGTCGACATTTCTTTTTAAAGCAGACTTTTGTCCTATTTTTCAAGCCAGAGATTGACACTTTCAGAGGTAGATTTCTTGGATGCCCTACGTATATAACATCTGTGTCCATAATTTCACCAGGGTCCATAATATCGCCACCTTGAGAAACAGTGTGCTTAAAGATATTTTTACTGCAACATACTTTTGGTATGCACTCCTTCACACATCAAATGTACATACCTAGGGTATGTTGCAGTAAAAATATCTTTAAGCACACTATTTCTCAAGGTGGCGATATTATGGACCCTGGTGATATTATGGACACAGATGTTATATACATAAAACAGAATCATTAGCATTAGACTACATATATATACTTTACTGGATGTTATCTAGATCTGGCTTACTATAAAATTTTGGTGCAGACTGTCACCACCTTATACATGTGCGAAGTGCCAAAGAAATAATGGTAATAAATTTCCTGAACTGTTTTTAGTATGATCCATACTTCCTGAATAAGTAAAATCTGTCTATAGCAGGCAGGGCTCGAAATTCATTTTTGGGAATAGGTGTACAAACATTTTTGGGATGCACCATATAAAATAGAATAACTAGAATGTCAGCAATAACTAATTATGTGTCATTTCTATAGAAAAGACTACTACAACAATGATTTTATTATTTTTCTGACACTTGGATGCTAAGAATATGCTGTATACTACTATACATTTAACATCTTTACAGACGTAAACCTACAAAAATTTTGGGGGTGCACCATATAAAATAGAATAACTAGAATGTCAGCAATAACTAATTATGTTTCATTTCTAAAGAAAAGTACTACTACAACAATGATTTTATTATTTTTCTGACACTTGGATGTTAAGAATATGCTGTATACTACTAAAAAAATACATTTAACATCTTTACATATGTAAACCTACAAAAACATTTGGGTGCACGGGTGCACCCACAGAAAAAAATTGTGTGCACAGCTCCAAATTTGGGTGCACTAAGGTGCACATGCACCCAGCATTTCCAGACCTGGCAGGTAATTTTCAATGTTACCTGCACCAGTGCAGGTATTAGTACATGTATGCATAAGACATTATCAAGCCCTGACCTTGAACAACTTCTTGCTGTTTCCGTCCCTGTACTGTGCAGGGTTGTACTCCCTAATGGTCTCAGGTGACATGTAGTTCAGCGTGCCAACTTGCTGGTCCTTGATCACGCTAGTTTTGTCACTCTGGATGGCGTTGGCAATCCCAAAGTCAATCAGCTTCAGATCACCGTCCACGAACAGGAAGTTGGCAGGTTTCAAGTCACTGTGGACAATACCTACAGACAGAAGGATGGACCTTAGATAGGTGTGACCAATATATATTAACTCCATGGTGTGACGCACAACGTCTGTCTCTCTGAAATTTCACAGAATTTTGCTGCTCATGACAGACAAAAACTACTGTGTAATAAACTTCAAGTCATTAAAAAGTCATTAAGGTGTTCTCACTGGCTAATTTGGCATTTTAAACTTTCCATCATTTTGTCACAAAGAAATTTAGAAAGAACTGTAGTTGTACTGAATATTGATACCTGGGTACAAAAGGGTTATGATTTTATGGACAATATGGATGACGTCATCATATTCTATTGCCCCAAATATAATTATTATCTTTAAAGTTATAATACAGCACTTTGGTACAAATAACTGCCATAAAAGTATGATTTTGATTTTCATGTGCATAATGGTCAAAGCTACAAATGTACGTTTGCACAAATTGATATTTACTAATTACCCGTAGTTATTAGAGAATAACTAGCTTTTAATTAGGCTATTAGGTTATTCTCTAAAGTTTAAAATGCCAAATTAGCCAGTGAGGACACCTTCAACTTAGCTTAGTCTAACAAAATACATTAAATAGTCTATCAGTATGGATTACTGGTAAATACAGTAAATGACCTAAAGTTTATATATGTCCGCGTGGACACCGTGAATATAAGCAACATTTTAGAGGGTCAAGATTTCAACTTTTTCTTGGCGGCTTATACTGTTTGAAATATAACAAACAAACAACTATCTGTGACCCCCACCCTGTCTGTGAATGGTGTCCACAGCCTCCAGCATGTGTCTCCAGTAGAACCACAGTACATCATCAGCGATGCTGCCCTGCTGTTTCTTCTTGTTCCTGAGGAAGGTGGCCAGGTCCACACTCCCCTTCTCCATCACCAGCACAATCCGCTCTTCTGTCACTTCACTGGAGGGGGAGAAAATAGCTTCAAAATATAAGGTGGTCTTGTGGTTAGGGTTGATGACTCAGAATCGGAAGGTTCTGGGTTCGAATCCCAGGTAGACCACATAGTTGTTCCTTGGGAAAGGCACTTAACACCAATATCCTCACTGAAACTTGTAGAAAAGGTTTTACCACTAAGGCCAAACCATTTTATTCAATTGGTTTTTGGATTCGCGTGCTTCATTATTTTTCGGATTCGCAAAAAAAAGTTTGAAATCAACTCCAAAATGCTCAAATTTTGACCCCAACAGTGGAAGGAAGTCTCTGTCTTCCTTGTTGTTTACTGTAACAGTTTTTCCAATGCAGTGGTTAAAGGTTTGAAATTCATTCTTTGAATTATAAACCAGCCTGGTATGTTGTCTTCATGGCTCTTACATCATTTGAGGCTATCATTTGAGGATATCAGGATTTCTAGGCCTGTTTTTTCTGCCCGGTGTTGCTTGATATTCTAAAAAAAACCCTGGGAACTAAGGCCACACCAATTTAATTTCTTGGTTAATGGATTTTTCTAGAAAAATAATGGAGCGGGCGGGCGAAAAAATAAAAACAGGCCTAGGCATCCAATTATGGCCCAAAATGGTATGATAGGAGCCATGAAGTCAACACACCAGGCTGGTTCAAAATGGAATAACTGTAACAACTAGGATGAAAATGACTGTTTTCAACTGTTCAGGGCAAAATATGAGCATTTTGCAGTTGATTCTGAATTTTTATTTTTATTTGCAAATCAGAAAAAAATGAAGCGGCGAATCTGTTAACCAAGAAATTAAATTGGTGTGGCCCAAAAGGAAATTAACAAGTTAAACTGGAATGGCCTATCATGGAGAAGTCTACTTACAAGTCGTAAAGTTTGATGACTCGTGGGCTGTGCTGCAGATTGGACAGGTGGGTAATCTCGTTAATGTAGCCTTGCACTGTCGTCTCATCAGCTTCCTCCAGGTTCACCAGCTTCAGCGCATACACCTTCCCCTTCTCATCATACACCTGGTACACCTGCAACCAACAATGGGCACCTGAGCAACAGCTGCCGCATCTCATAACTGCTAAACCATCATCACATGGCATGTCAGACTCATAGCTTGACTTGTGCAAACTGTATTGTGAGTTGAGATCATGAAGATCCATCCACGGCATCTTGAGTTAATATCCTGTTCACAAACAAACCAACGAACACAAAAGGTCCACTGCAGTAATGTAGGAATCCCTTATAAATCCATTTTTGAACTTGACCTGTCCTCCTAACAGTAACTTGCCTACCAAAAATCATGAACATCCATCATCAGCATCTTCATAGACCAACAAACACAGTAGGTCCATTGCAAAAACTCCTCTGCAAGACCCATTTTCGAACTTGACCTCCGTTTCCAGAACAGTAACCTGCCTACAAAACTCATGAACATCCATCCATGGCTTTGAGAGTTACATGCCTACATGCACAGTCACTCCACCACAGACAAACTGAAAACATAACCTTCTAATGAAGGTAACAATGAACACCGGGATACATTTGTACGTCCTTTACTACAATACATGTATAATATTATACTGAACAAAATTCCTATACGTGTACTACTAAAAACACTGATACGTGTTCCTCACCTTACTTGACCCTCCCTTGCCGATGATACTGAGTACACGGAATGGTTTCCCCTTCACACAGATCACCTCACTCCTTTCCCCGGGAGCACAAGGCATCCTGGGAGTTGCAAACTGAGGCTGAGGGGGTGGTGCCACCTGTTGGAAGTTCTGGCTGTGCGGCTGTTGAATCTGCAGACTGGCAGATGGTGTGAAGAACCCAGGCATGCTTCAAAGCAAGGAGAGAAAACACTAGTCATTGAGAGACTGGGGACAATAGGAAATTCTCTGTATTTTAGCAATAGCAGTAACATAATGGTGACATTACATACATGGGAAACAAACCATATCTATTAAGGTGTACATTTTTACAATGTAAATTCAGGGCAGCACTTCAAAATAATTTAGTCGCGATGAGGGAATCAGTCTAATATTGACATTTACAGTGAGTGCTATTTCTTAGAATAATTTTGTCATCATTTCATACTTGACTGTTTGAAATAGCCCCCAAAAAATTGGGAAGGGAACATTTTTGGACCCCACCTTCTCCTTTCATTTTGAAGAACAACTCTACATGTAGTAAACTATTACAACTCACGTATTCTGGTTCCCAATGTTTGGTGTGGGCCTCTGAGAGTTTTTAGGCACAACAGTTGGTCCTGTAGCTGTTCTACTCCCTGTACCAAGCACTGTAGAGCCTTGCCCCCCTGATCGCTCATGGTATAGTCCACCTGTGTGTGCGCTGTTACTTCTTCCCTCAGGTACAACGCTTTTAAGACTATCAGACATCTCAGTAGCTTGATGAGCTTTTTGAGAAGGCTCTACTGTCTTATTTCCAGGTGGTAGGCTCTTGGAGACGGGAGGAATGTTCATCTGAGAGGCCTGGGCACCTGGCACCTGCGCAGCTGGCTTGAAGGCCACTGTAGCTGCATCAACTGTGTCAGACGCGTTTACCACTTTCGTAGACGATGGCTGCCTCTCTGGAAAGCTGACCACTGTGTCTGTAGGAGAAATGCTTGGAGCCTTTCTAGTACTGTACGTTGCAGGAGTTGTATCTGCTGAATAATGTCCAAGATTAGACATGGAAGGAGCTGTACTAGTTTCTCTCAGTGGTTCAGTTGGTCTGCTACCTGTATCCTCGGGCGGACTTGCTTCTTTAGCAGGCATCTGGCCACGCGGAGTGGTGTGTGACAACAGGGAGGAAGACTTTGAAAATTGGCACAGCGACAGTCCCTTAAAAGTTTTGGAGTCATGAGTGGTGTTTGTGTTGGACTCTGGGCTGACTTTTCTGTTAGTGAAGGGGAGGGGAGGTTTTGCCTTGGCTGCGGAAGAGTCCATTCCTTCTGACGGGGGACTGACATTCTTCAGGGGCTGGACGCCCAGGAAACAGTCGGTGTCGTCCGAGTCGTCGTCGTTTCCGTTTTCCGTGGACATCTCGCGTAACTTTGGTAGGGAACTGCGCTTCACCCTTAGTGGCACACGCGCAGGTTGTCTGAGGAATAGGTAAGAATAAGTAACCAGAAAGGTAACATTTGCAAAGGAAATGCATTATGTTTACCTTCACATGGCCCAGCTTAACAAGCTTTGTTCATTCTTACTCAAGCACATCCATATATATGGTGACCATGCAGCCCCTCTAGAACTCAGTTCTGCATGGCACTTGCAACATTATGTTACCCAACACCAGTTACTATGGTGAGAGACGTCTGGTTCAGGTCATTGACCTAATTTGTTTGGAGAAGAAGAGGAAGAAACTGAATGAAAACAATATGTTTTCCTTCGGTTAACATAATCAGTGTTAGACGTTTTCAATATTGGAGGAGAAAAAATAAGCAACTTGCAATATTGCAGAAATAAGGAATCCAAGTATCCAATTGTACTACATGTACCTTTTGTTTGCGTTGGGCCCTTCAGTGTGGCTGGTTACAACACGCTGGGTCTGAGACTGGGGTGTGTGCAGTTCCCGTCCTGGCAGCTTGGAGGCGCTCCATGTCGACCGTGAAAGCTGCAAATGTGTAAAGAGAACTAGAAAGGTAATGTTTACCTTCGCATATGGTAATATTAATGTTAATTATTACTCAAACACATTCATATGTATGGTCAGACAGGAGTCTAAATCCCTTCTGCTATAAAATTGCAACATGATGCTACCTAACACCAGTTACCATGGTGACAGACGTCAACAAACCAGGAGATTGGCCAGGTCAGAGGTTAGTGTTTGGAGAAGAAGAGGAAGAGGAAATTGAGCAAAAACAATATGTTTTCCTTCAGTAAACATAAATACAGTTTTTAAACCTCTACTTAACCCACTCCCTACTGCCTAACCCCATGGACGATACATAATGCCAAATAACCACCTTAGCATGATGTAGGTTACAGTGTTATATTCTGGATAAGAAAAAATATGATGACCTGAGTGCATGAATTTCACAAATGATTCCATAAAGATGGATTGAGATGACAGAAAAAAATTTCAGGCTGGCTAGAACACTGTTGCCTTTTATCATCAAACAGCCAGTAGATTAACACAAAGCCCGACAAAATAAAATTGCCCTACCGGTTGCTACTCAGCTTTCGTCCGCACCGCGCAAATCGCGGCACACAAACCCGAGTTCCTACAAGACACTAGCATTCCACAAGGATTGCTATACATGTAGATACTCGTATTTCCCAAGGACTGTAAGAGACTGGAACGAGCTTCCGCAGGCCTTACCAGAAATACCAGAGGCCGACAAGTTTAAGGAAGCTGTTCTTCTACACTTGAGGAGTATTTAGAGCGCTGCGCACTCCCCCCCTGTGTGTTTGACCCCAACTGAGGGGTGTTACGCAGTTCTGTATCAAGATCAAGATCATTACCTGGGGTGGTTTCTCCCTATGACCCCAAAGGAGGGGCAGGGTGTCATTCTCATCCAGACTGCTACTACCACCACTGTCAGTCCTGCAACCCCCCGGCTTCTGGAACGATATGGTAGAGTCCACAGCTACCATACTGGGGGAAGGGTCCACTGCAGTCTGATTCAGGGGAGGTTGTAGCTTTGTCACTGAAGTTTGACCTTTGGGTTTAACTGCACTGGAAGATGGCTGTGCACTACTGTCTGGACAACAGATTCCTGCAAATTTCAAAATCGAGAAATAAAAAAAAAAGAGGTAATCTCTGTTAGTGGTCCCTGCAACTTTGTTTAAAATCGCTTTACACATTCTCTGAATTGTCTGATACTTGGAGTTACATTTATACATGTATAATATCTGAACATTGTACACCTGACATTCTGAGATTTGATTACAGGGCTCGAAATGCTTTTATCTGCATATCTGCACTAGTGCAGGTAACACTTAAAATTGCCTGCAGAATTAAGGAAGTATGGATTTATTTATTTATAAATTTCTTTTACATGTCAATATGATGTCATAGATGGTAACAGTCAATACAGAAAATATATACCCAGCACATAGACCAGTGCAGGTTAGGTACAAGTAGACATAAAAAAACACCTGTATGCACAGCTCCAATTTTACCTGTACATGCAGGTGGGATTTTGAGCCAGGGTATGATTGAATTATGTACAGACAAGGCCCCCTACCCCAGACATTTTCCTTGTCCTCCATCAGTAGTTTGTCCTTGTTGCCCAGCCTGATGAGAGCAGTGTTCAGCATATCTGTAGGCTCAGCTCCCACGTCCAGGCCTTTCTGTAGGATACTCTGAGCCTTGCCCTCCCTCCCTGGAAGAAACAACACAGTTTTGACTACTTCAGAATAAAATAAAATTGGGGGAAGACATAGCAAGTAAAAAAAGTGATGAGGGCTTCCACATTTTAAAACTACGCGCACCAACAGTTACACAGAGTTAGTGATGCATACCTAAACCCAATTTTAGGTTCAGGTCCGGATTCAAGTCCAGAGGTTTAGGTTCAGGTCCGGACTTGTAAGTCCGGACCTAAACCCATGGCATATACAAAATTGCACGTTGGCAACCTTGCAATGTTGTCTGGGTGAAACTTTGGCCACATAACACGGAGGCCGGTACTTGACGATGCCCGATGGCAATGTTTTCTTCATTTTGCAGCAAAGATTTTGCAATCTACGGAAGGTTTTAGGTGGTCTGGAAAGAAAAGGAGTACCGGTATGTGAAATGGTCTTTTATGGTAATAAGTCTGGACTCGGTTCTTCACTTTTAGTTTTTTTTGGACTTGACACTTTGGACTAAACATTCTTACAAGTCCGGATCCAAGTCCAGTGAACCGGTATGCATCACTACACAGAGTTATACATTTGTAAATATGATAAAATATCGGCTATGTTCACATTAACCCTCAACAGAACACCTTCCCGGACTGATTAATCTGTACACCTGGGGTCCGCGCGGACCCCAGAACAGTTTTTTGCTAATTTTTAGAAATTATCAACATGCTACCAGCTCAATTGTTTTGCAAACTGATGTGGGAACCTCTGTGTCCACATTACATACAAAAACCATACATTTTGGACTTTTTCTATTTTTGGGGGAAGAAAAGAAGACAAGAAGAAATACCCGATTTTTAAACCCATTTCAGACTGAAGGGGCTTTTGAGGCCCAACTTTGATCTCAGATAGCGGCTAAACGGCTTGCGCTAGAAGTATCAAATTTGGAGACCTTTCCTAAAATGTCTCTGGAAAAAAGTTCATATTAGTTTAATACTAGTAAGTTGATGTTTTTTTGTGTTGCCATGGCAACGGGTTTCTAGCAGGCAGTTTTTTTGAAAAAAGAAGTAATTTTGGTTTAAACATAAAATTTTTCTGAGTTTTTTTATTAAATTACACTTCTCTTCCAACATTAATAACATCTTACATAATTAAATATAAGTTTAATATGCATAGAATATGCTAATTTGATGACGTCATTGGTCAAAATCCAATATGGCGGACTATATTATTAGCTCTGACGTCATATGACGTCATAATTACACCAAAGTTATTAAAATTTAATTCTATTACTACACCGTTCTCTGAAAACTTGGTAGACATACGATGAGTGCATAAAAACATATAAAAACGGAAATAAGGTAATGTATAAGAACGCCAGTGTATCCATTATGATCGAAAGCCGGCTAGGGTCCGCGCGGACCCCAAAAGAAAATCAGATATAATTTTTTTATAAATGGTAGAAACGGAGTTTCCTGCACTGTATTGAGAGACAACTTTGTGGGTGACAATTACCTAAAATTTCAGAAAAAAATCTTTAAAAACAAAAAAGATATTACAGAATATATAGTGCTGGGGTCCGCGCGGACCCCAGGTGTACTGTTTAGGGTTAATTATAATGCAATTGTTTCATGTGTCAATCCTCACCTCTGCTGAGCTCGAACTGTGCAGCAGCCACATGGACAAATGCAAATGTCTTGGCGTTGACTCTGGCAAACTTGAACCCTGTCTGTCCATCTTCTTCATTATGATCACTGGAAAGAAAAAACACCCTCCAGTTTACATATATGGAGAGAGAATACTACAATGTCATGGTGTTCCATATTACCCAAGTCCCAGCCCAACCCTGGGTCAGATCGGCCGGAGAGTAGCAGACCCATGGGAGTATTGGGACCTTGGGAGATGTGGAATACACCGTCTTTGTATTTTATGAATTTTCCAAGTTTTTTGCAAAACATGCCTAAGCAGTTGAGAAAATTTGCTGTCCCTCTATGACAAAAATTGTAACAACATCAATTTTGATTTTTCGAATTATTTAAACAAGTTTCCATTTAATGGTATTTGCTATGGAACTTATGGAAGGCTGTATGATTACTGTTAGAACTCCATATCATGATATGGCCCAATTACCACATCAGCCAAAATATCCATTAATAGCAAATATTATTGCAGCCCAGGTACCGGTAGTATAACTGTAAGATATTGTCTCAATCTGAAAACCAAAGTGAACTCTTTTTACAAAATAAGCTTTTGTTGGCAAAGTTTTGTTATCATGACCCTTACCCCTATAATATGAAAGAATGTACATGTACAACCCCACCCTCAACAGGGAAGGGGGGCTACGGGTGGATCTCTCCGGCACTTGTTTTTGGCACTCCCAGCCCCCGAGGACAGACAAGGAGCTTTCTGACTATAGTATATTTATGGGTTCACCACACCACGAAGTGGTGGTGAACCCATATTGCTTTTTCTGATGTTTCTTCTTCTTCTCCTCCTTCTCCTGCCATTTTTTAAATGGATTCAGCTTCTTCATTTTAGGGCCTAAGGTCCTGAAATTTGGTATGGAGGTACAGTGGGCAAATACCCCTAGGCGTTTTTAAATTTTTGTGATACAGGCTTTTAGAATGGTTTTATTTGAGTTTTTTGGCTGTGTTATAGCAAATGTATTACTGTGTTAGTGTGCCGTGTTTACCACGTCTGGGCATGAGTCATCACAATGGAATGCAGGGCATCAACCAATAGACATGCAGCTTTCCTCTATACTTCTTGCTGATTGGCTGTTGGGATTTAACTTGATTAACACCTGCACAGAGCATTTCCACCTGCACAGAGCATTTCTTGCTGATTGGCTGTTGGGATTTAACTTGATTAACACCTGCACAGAGCATTTCCATACTGACAGTATGTCTTTATTCAAGTGTTTTGGTAGGTATTTCAAGTTTTTCTGCTCCAGCATTGGAATGCGGGGCATGAACGTTTTTTATTTTATTTTGAAAATCAACAGTTTGCATTATGCAATTAAAAATCCTAACCAATAAAGTAGGGAATAGCTATCCAACTGTTGTTTTAGTTGTATGTTACTTCATATTATAGTTATATCAATGTAAATCATTGTTTTCCCTTGTGTTTCTCATTCTTTCCCTGCCATGTCGTAAAATGTGGTGAACCCATCGCTGTATTTGCTCCAAAGCAAATATTGGCCTTTCTAGTTTGCATTATCTTCTCTTGACTTGTCTGATAGCTTATAAACCTGCATGTCTCCTCTGGTCTCTCAGTCACTGACCGTTTCCAAAATCATATCCAGTTGCTTGAGTAATGTATATTGTATCATATCGTATTACCTGGATGTCTAACCTTCATCGACTTACCCCTTGATGTTCGCCAGCTGTATGAGGATCCTGGCGTAGCTCTCGTCTCTGCGACACAGCTCCACCGGCATGTGGTGCAGCGCCTTGTCGTACACGGACAGCAGGTACGTGTACCTGGCCTGCGGACTGCTGAAGCTGGTCCGACCCTGCGCCTGCGTCAGGAACTCCAGCCAATCACACGGCTTGTTGCCCGCCGCTGAGATGCGATCTATCCACGAGGTGTGATCTGGAACACAGACACTGTACTGTAAATTGTGAAACTAGCACAGTGGTTTTATTTCACAAAAGAAGGTAAAGGGTTAGGTTTTCAGTGTTGTAAATTAGTAGTTAAAACAATTCTGTAGTACAGTAGTCATACATGATCATATGATATATTATATTAAGTCATACAGAGGTTAGTTCTTAGCTCAAGGAAAAAAAAATGTTGTATTTCCTCAACTTTCCTGTTTCGCGACCGACCCTAGAAAAAACTGCCCACCCTGGCCTTTTTTTGGGGGGAAGGACATAAATTTTTCAAGCTGATTTTTTTCTAGCTCTATCATCTGACACCAGTGAGTGATGAAACGTTGTACAATCCAATTGTTGTACAAGTGTCCTCATGCAAGTTCTACTTAAAGTTTATTGTACAAGTTGTATCACTAGAGATTGCTTAAGTCCAATAAAGAAATTATGAAAAAAAAAGATAATCCCTAGAACTATTTTTTTCAGGACTGGAAGTGAAACAGAAAATACAACATTTTTTCCCCTAGGCCTGGGGGAAGGGTCAAGGCTGGCATATTTGCTGTGTCATGAATTTTTGGTGTCAGCACAGCCAAGTAGTACTCTGACAAGTTATTAATCCTAGCTATAACTATTTTAGCTTATGTCTATCATGCAACAGAACTGTGATAGTACACACTACACACCAGTGAGGTTGTATGTCCCCGTGCCTGTGAGGTTCCCAGTGTTGTTGGTGTCATCTCTCTCATCACGACTGTAGATACTCTGTAAACGGCTTTGCAGGGACTTCAGGCGAGACATGGTCTTTCAGTCAGTGTCTCACTCTTGTCAACCTGAAGGGAAGCATGAATACAATTGTAAGAAACAGAAGGAGCAAGTAGAAACAGATAAAAAAACCCTGGTCTCGGGCCGGGGTTTGAACCTACGACCTTCCAAGCACCAGCTACAAACCTGACGCTCCTAACCATCATCATCATCGGTCGGCTGCTGCGCAGGCGACTGCAAGGTTCCTCCACTGCCCCTTGTCGCAAGCAAGGTTGGCGATCTGCTTCTCATCAGTTACTCTCACCTCTCGAATAAAAGTACCCCCTGGAATAAAAGTACCCCCCGGACAAATCTTCAAAATGTAATAAAAGTACCCCCTGGAATAAAAGTACCCCCCGGAAAATTTTTAATTGACATGTGAAAGCAATGTTTATGCTACTAAAATGTGTTCTCATGGTGTACATGTATGTTTCCCTTGCAAACACAGGTCCCAAATAAACATACCCCCGGAAAAAAAGTACCCCCGAGAAATCTTCAAAACCTAATAAACTATCCCCCCCCCCCAGAATAAACATACCCCTGGAAATTACCAAATTATCAGCCTGCATTCTTACAGGTTAATAAGAGGTACATGCCTTTGTATATGTCGTGCAGTCTAATGACATTATCCATCTACATTCTAACTTGAGATCTGACTCTGAGTTCACACAATTTGTTGTTGATCATTACATTGCATGCATGCATTGAGCAGGAACAATGCTATCAAGTTTTGGGATAAGAGTCCTTGATTTTTTAAGGTTAAGAAAAATTACATGAATAGAGTTTGAAGTTGAACAGAAATTTACAATATGCTAAATACATGCTCTATACAAATTTGCATTAATGTGTAAAAAGACATAGGGAAAAGAATCAAATATAGAATATAATGTTAGATTTTGAATGGTATTTCATTTTTATACCTTTAAAAAAAACTTCAATCAGTTTTCAAACAATTGACACAATCCACAAGTCACACACAAAGTTCACACGAGAATAGCAACAATTCGGACTGCCACAATCTCAAGGGTCTCAGGTTTCACTTACAAAATGTAGCAAGCTTTGAAGTTTGTGTTAGTATGCAAATGAAGGGAGGCGGGGCTTGGAAGAATGGTTCATTCTCTAGTAGGGGGACATGAATATTTTAAAACATTTTGATGTGTACTTGATATGAATAGATTGCAAGTTTTGTCATGTCAACACCTTTTTAAGAATTACTCAACTCTTCCATAATGTAACATCCATATGTGATTTTTTAAGAAAGAGTTTTATTCACATTTAAAAATCATAGCTTCCCCACACTCAAAGTAGGCTCTTCCACATCGTGGGAAGTTTTCAAGTGTGCGCCATTCAGAACGGACTATTTCCAGCTTGAATTGTCATTTCTCTGGTAGGATTTTGGAATTTTTGTGAGAAATACGATTTATTATGCTAAAATACACTCTTGTCTGGTATTATTTTCATATTTTCGTTGGAAAAAGGAATACTTGAAACACGTAATGTGCAAGCACATGTTCCTCCCCCCCAAATTATTTCTAGTAACGCTAGAGTCATATCTCCGACCTGCTACGTGTTCCAAAATATTACTTACCTTTTTGAAAAAAAGAGGTTATCTTTTCCCTACAAAAGTACAAGTACGATGACTCAGTAAATCTGCCGTACGTTTGGTGTCAGTAAAGTTCTGCCCGTGCATATTTGACATGTTGCAAAGTGGCCGCTACTTTGGGCGGCTGTGTCCGGGCATCGTGGCTTTCCAAAAACTTGCACCCAGAAAAAGATGTTTTCTCCAAAGGGCATGTACTTTCAATGCTGTTAACTATGCCCCGATTTTGAAAAATTATTATATGCACCGTCCAAAATGAGATCGTACCGGGTGGATGTTCGGGCCAACAAAAAAGGGACACGAGAGTTTATTCAAGGCCGTTCAACACCGGAGCGGCCACCCCCGGTCTTGTCGGATCCTCTTGCGTACTGGCAGAACTAACGACAAAACATGAAAAGTTCCCGCTAGAATAACGCAACAAGCTCCTACAAAAAGACTTAAATGTATTATTTGTAGTAGGAACTTCCTTTTTACGTCCAGACATGTGCCTTTCGTGACATTTTAACTCTGCAGTTACGTACTTTTTTGCCCGGAACTTTTTTTGATTCTGAAAAAAAAATAAACGTACCGTCTAAAATAAGAACGTACCGGGCGGATTTCAAGGCGAAAAAAAATAAACGTACCGGTACGTTTAATCGAGAGTAAAGAGTAGCTGATTGTACTCGTCTCCTAACCAAAAAGGTCTAGTCTCCAAGCAGAGGTTGTGGGGAATGATCGTTAGCTTTTTATATATGGCTGGTTTTTTTTTTTGTTGCTACCCCCGGCCACCGTCGGTGGCCGGCGACCTTCTCTGGCTAATGGATATACGTACATGCCTGGCCAATTTGAAAGGGATCTGCTTGGAGATTATATTAAAGGTCTAGACCCCTTGGGTTGGCTGGGTCAGTTGGTAGCGCCTATAAACCCCCCACTGTCACTTTTGACTAGTACTGGCCTACTGGCATGGGGCACCTGCTGGGCCCGGGGCATATTACATAATATTACCTGCATACATTCTTGTTGAACTCTCATCTGATTTATTAAAAGTTCAACATAATATTCAACATAATATTTGTCACCTTATCTTATATTCAGTTCAATCAGACTTTTCTTTCCTGTTTGAAATACAAATCAGCATGGTGACCAACTGTAGAACCTTCACAACACAGGGCTAGCCTAGAAATACTGGGTACATGTGCACCTTAGTGCACCCAAATTTGGAGCTGTGCACATAATTTTTTTTCTGTGGGTGCACCAGTGCACCCAAATATTTTCTTAGGTTTAACGTATATAAATATGTTAAATGTGTAGTAGTTACAGCATATTCTTAACATCTAAGTGTCAGAAAAAATAATACAAATTATCATTGTTATAGTACTTTTCTTGAAACCAGAATGAAACATAATTATATATTATCTTACATGGTGCACCTAAAATATTTTTTGTGCACATAATTTTTTAGGTTGGGTGCACCAGTGCACCTATTCCAAAAAAATGAATTTCGAGCCCTGCAACACATTGCTCACAACTGTCAGAAATATATGAGTAGATAATTAAGGAACCCAATAATAAATAATTTTGCCCTCTCCGAATGAGGATGAATGAACTCTGCGGTGGCCAAACTCCATTGGCTAAATATCATCCTCACTATTTGACTGAATTCTACTGCTTTTGAACCCGCCGTGGTTACTAAATCAAAAATGCCAGTCTAGTCAAGGAGATCCTTTCCCCCTTCCTCTCGAATCTGCTGTGCTGTATATCATGCAAAAGTAGCTGCCGAACGACGCTCACGCGCTAGTTAAAATGTAGACAAAAGCACCAGAAATGAATAATAAAGTTACATACCTAAAATACCACAACGGTGTCGTTGAGAAGAAAAAAAACATGCACAAATCGGCAAAAACTGTGATTCGGAAGCACTGAACTCACTCCTTGTCCACCATTTTGTTTTGCTCAACTTGCTCCACGCTGATTGGTCAATTTCTAGACAAGTGACGAAGATCGTCATTGTGATTGGTCAGCATGTGGAATGGCACCGAATTCAAACTTCTACTGAACACCGAGCAGTTTTCATCGACTGATTGACGTTGATTGTATGAACTGGGAGCATCATTTTGATTGAAATATCATTCTTTTTGGGTGAGACGTTCACTATCACCATGAAAAGGGACGAGAAGGTGTAGAGATCGAAGGCTGGACATGGGGTGCAGTTGGATGACAAACCGCCAGGGGACGCTGTCGAGAGGTTAACACAAACGGGTCAACAAAGGTCAGAGTCAGGATTTATGGCGCGGAATGTGTGGGTTTCAGTTTCACAAATTCTAGTGCAGATAAATCTCTCCATGGCACTCTGGGCGTGCAATATCTACACTAGACGCTGATTTTCCAACCTCAAGCCTCAGGAGCTGGCTTCGGGGGCTAGTTTTGATCATGGCCGGAATACAGGGCGTAAGTATGCAGAGTCACATGTAAATTTTGCTGCTTTGTGAATTGTTGTGGCGGCTTGCTGGTAGCGTTGGTGCCACCCTAGTCGTCTCTTTTCTCTAGCTCCACGATACGTGTTAGTGTATATATCGTCTTGGTGGAAACTATAACCGAGGAGGTTCTTATAAAGTATAGTAGAGTTTAGTCTACGGTCCTGTGAGGTAAGATCATGGTAAGATGTTAAACTTTCTTCAACCGACTGCCACAACCGGACAATGTGTTTTGGTGGATGGTCAAAATATGTTCTCCATGAACTGGTCAAACCTTAATAGTTTGAAGGCATGTACTGAGGGTGCATTGACCACTTCAGGTTGCACATTGCACCAAGCTAAACCTCCTTGCTACTTGCACATGTTTTTTGAACCTTGAACTTCAGACTTGGGAGTAAAGAATTTAACTTGATAGATAAAAATGCACGTCATTTTATAATGCATCATTTCATAACAAATCTAAATATAATGCAGAGTCTTGCAGACCGGTGGAGGTCCTATTCCCTCTTTCCTTGTTGATAAACACCTCCTCAAGTGTAAACTAGGAAAATTTAATACTTGTTGCCCTTGTTGTGCATCATCATCATCATATCTCGTTGTGCATAATATGTTGTTATGCTTGTAATAAATATGCATAAAAATGTGCAATATGGTAATCAGTTGAAGTTCATGATCACTCAGACATTTATGATGCCAAAAGGTTACTAATAGTACTACATATTATAGTAAAATTTGTTATTTATGAATGTGACTCGAACACCAGAAGGATGTGTTTCAGTTTGTACCTAATCACCACAGTGCCTAGTGGCAGCTGTGTAAACGGAAGCGTCACAACAGTTGTGTGAATTACGTGCAAGACCAGAAAGTTATCTTCCACTTGTTGTCATGGATCATGCAAGGCTGAGCATTCTCTCACATTATCATATGGCCACAATTCAGTGTTCTCGCCAGGCCTTTTGAGCATAGGGGCCCCCTATGCTGTGATTTGGACCCCCTATGCTGTCTTTCAACCAGCATAGGGGTGTTTTTTTGGAAGAAAATTGATAAATCTTTCTAAAAAATGAAAACATTACTTAAGAATATTAAGCTTTAGCAAAGGGAAAACCTTAACTTCACAAGATCTGCCCATCAAAAAGTGAGAAATGGTGTCTCAGGCTAGGGGGTTATGAGTTTCAATTTTTTTTTCGGGTTAATGCGCGACTTGCGCCACCCAAGTTGCCCTTCTGTACCTGACCCCTATGCTGAAAAAATCCTGGTGAGAACCCTTAGGCCTGCACATCCATAATTTTATCAATCAGAAATGACGGGGTTATGCTGATATCCCCCTTAACTTGTCTCTTTCCTGCGACTATGAACCAAGCACTGGTAGTCGTACCTGGCTGGCATTGATACATGAAATGGATAAAAGATTTTTTTTTCTTCTTGATTTAATTAATTCATGAAATGACTGCCTTTTTCCTGAGCAGATCGTGAGAAAATGCACTCTTTACATACATATTTCTAGTGATGCATACCGGTTCACTGGACTTGGATCCGGACTTGGAATAATGTTTAGGTTCAAGTAAAAAAAAACCTAAAAGTCAAGAACCGAGTCCGGACTTATTACCATAAAAGACCATATCACAAACCCCTTTTCTTTCCAAACCACCTAAAACCATCTGTAGATTGCAAAATCTTTGCTGCAAAATGAAGAAAACATTGCCATCGGGCATCGTCAAGTGTTGGCCTCCATGTTATGTGGCCAAAGTTTCACCCAGACAATTTGCAAGGTTGGCAACATGCAATTTTGTATATGCCATGGGTTTAGGTCCGGACTTACAAGTCCGGAACTGAACCTAAGCCTCTGGACTTGAATCCGGACCTGAACCTTAATGTGGGTTTAGGTATGCACCACTACATATATCTACTGTTGCTCTTGAATATGGCCATGGCCAAGGGACTGTCAGTGTCTCAGTGTTTAATGAAAACAGAATGAAAGCAGCACTGACACATGGGCAAGCCAAACTTGAGCTGAGAACAGTTCGGTACCATTAACACAAAAGGGCAAAGCGCATTAAGGCTCCAGAACCAAGGCAACCGATACACCCTTAACACTAACAGGGCTGGATTATTAATTTCAAACTCTGAAAAGGTCGATTTCACTGTAGTGTAGTAGAAGCTGTGAGGGCTGTTGAATGTCAGTCTCCCCAGCCTACGGCAGCACGTCGGCAGAACGTACTGCACCTGCGCAAAATCCGTAATATATTGTGCATAGCATTTCCGCAGAATGTCCCATATAAGGTTGTATTCGCGCATATAAGGTTGACACTCCGTCTGTAGTTTCCAAACCTTATGTCGGAAAAAATATCGTCTGCAACAAGCAAAATTCTAATGCAACGTTGACCAAAAATCCAACGAAAAAAGTGAAAAATCGGGATTCTGCACAGGCGCAGTACGTTCTGCCGCCATGCTGCCTACGGCGGTTCTGATGGTCGTTCTACAAATGTTAGCACCATTGTCCACCCAGTCGTGAAAATGATGACCTTTCTCTCAGAGTCTACGCCAAACAGTTTAACACACCGGACTGACCGAAGCCTCTGCATATATCGTTTACTCCGCTGGTCACGAGGACCATGTGTACATATCAGGCTGCTCGGCAGAGCTGGTAAAAGGAAACAAATCCGTGGAACTGTCAGAATGATGGAGCAGAATCGAAAGCAGATCTATCTCGATGGGAAAACGGTAGACAGGAGAGGAAAACCTGGCTGCCAGGGGTATGACAGGATCTGGTGCTTTGCCTCAATTTTCAGAAAAGGGACTATACATTCTTATTGCATGGAAATACAAATTGAATTAAAGTCTCAGAGCTCAGATTATGACTTTACGCTTTGCGGCTAAGGTACTATTATGAATTACGTTGATTTTTTTTTGAGGTTGCCTACGGATTACATAGACTAGAAAGACCTGATTACACCTTAAGAAAAAGGACATGCAGGCCCCCTTAAAAGATTTTGTTCTTTAATGATTGTATGCTGCTGTGTTCTACCACCCCCATGTTGTATTCTATATACTAGTACAATGTATATATTGTTATATAGCCAGAAAACGTCGACCAATCAGAAGGCTCCATTTCCTATTGGTTATCGGGCCCTAACTTCAAAAGTGGTCGATTATCAGAATAACCGACCACTTTTTGGACCATACCATTATACAGGGGGCAGGTGGGTATTTCTGATCCTGGGACTCCAATCCCATTGAAATACATGCGCCTCAGACTTAAATATTTAATATAACCTCTTGTAAAACATCATGATTTTCAACCAGACCTACAAAAATGTATCATGTACGTGTACATAACGTCATTATATCTGGTACATAAACATTTAACGGCTCGGTGCGTGTTGCAGCCAACAAGCGAACAGAAGTCTGTAAACACGATGGCACAAAACAAGGCACTGCTGTACTTCCTACTCCTGGTTTCCAATCAGCTACTGCTCGTGTCGGCGCCAGCTTTACGGTGCCCTGACAGCTGTCGCTCCCAAACCCTGTATCTGTTTGGAAGAGTAGTCATCTGTCACTGTCCAGATAAAAACTGGGCGGGGTCCCCCTGCAGCTGGATTGGGTACGGAGGAACGTACAGCTTCCCCGCATGTCTCGACGCCATACCAACTGGCTTCGACAAAGCCACGCGATCGATCTTCATCAAGAATCTCCGTTCCTCTACCATTTTGGAGCGGTCTTTCCCCAACAGCCCAGAAGTACAGAACCTTTGGATCATGCAGTCCAACGTGTCCACGGTGCAGCCAGGGGCTTTCCAAGGTCTGCCATTGGTGAAAACCCTTTCCCTCAGTGACAACCGTATCTCCAGTCTTGGTATGTTGACAAAAATGTGTATTTTGGGCTCCTGATATTTAATTTTGTTGCTTTTTTGAAAATTTCCTTATTTTATAAGTAATATGAATCCTCAATAACACTGTCTAGTATGTTTGATTTAGAAATAGCAGAAAATGATCTACATGTAAAATGACTGATATAAATAAATGAATTACCGGTATGTTATGTTGTAGGCCCCTTCCCCACTAAGATAAATTTGTACCGGATCGAGCTCAGCTGAATTTATAGATTAACTTTACTGAATTGATCTGCCACCTACATGTATCCTTCTCACCTGCAATCCACTTTGGTAGGTGGCTTATACAAGTGTAAAGTTGACCAGATTGATTCTGCCAGCTAATAATCTATTCAGTTCCATCTGGTTCAAATTTATGTGTTTTTTTTTGTTGCTGCCATCTTCAAGATTGGTTTACTATTGTTTCAATTCATAACAATACACTATTGTTATGAATCGAAACAATATTAATACTAATTTAAAAGACATTGTTGCTGAATTATACATATTAGTATTTTGGCAGACACAAAAAGGAGTAAAACTATTATACTACTAGTATATACAAGATTATTACATGATGATTCATCAATGATTACTTATTCTTGATAATCAACACATACATGTGCTATCAAAAAATTTAAAACGTAAAATATCTTACAATATTCTGTTTTGTTTATCCTCAGAACCTGACACCTTCCTTGGGCTTGAGAGGGTAACAAACCTCAACCTCGAAAGGAATGCCATTTCTGTCATATCCAAGCATGCATTCCGCGGCCTACCTCTCCTTGCGAGGTTGAAGTTGAACAAGAACCGTCTGCGTTCTGTGCCCGTCGACGCACTCCTGCCGCTTACAGCACTGAAGTTTGCAAGCCTGAAAACAAACCGCATCACCACGATCGACAGCCAAGTCCTGCGTCTGAGTCACAAACAGGCGCTACGGCTTTACCTAGCAAAAAACCCGCTGAAGTGTAACGCCAATCTCACCTGGTTCATCTGTCATCTGCCAGAGTTGAATCACATCTTTGACCGTGACTTCCTGAGGTGTGCATCGCCTGCCAACCTGAGCGGAATTCTGCTTGCCACCGTGAGGAAGGACATCAGTCAGACCGACACGGACTGGTCACCACAGGACATCAGGTCGGGGAGATGTGACGAAATGTCCACCACAACAGGTCCGCATACTCACCACACCAGTCTGTACAACAACACCATCCTCACAGAGATGCCACACACAAACGCCACCCCAGGCTCCGAGTACCAGGCTACAACAAGCCAGGCTACAACTGGAACTGACATTGTCACTCGTCCAAGTTTTGGCCCAATCCTCACCGAGGAAGATTACAGTTGCTACGTCAATGCCGTCATCATGTCTGTTGCTGTGTCCCTCCTCATAGTGTTGGTATGGGTGGTTGTTATCTGCTTGTACGAACGCTACCACGGTACAGGTATGGCCTGTCACCTTCATTAATGAAGACCCAGGGCCACAGCTTCAGCCATACACACTGACCCATGATGAAGACCCAGGGCCACAGCTTCAGCCATACACACTGACCCACGATGAAGACCCAAGGCCACAGCTTCAGCCATACACACTGACCCACGATGAAGACCCAGGGCCACAGCTTCAGCCATACACACTGACCCACGATGAAGACCCAGGGCCACAGCTTCAGCCAAACACACTGACCCACAGTGAAGACCCAGGGCCACAGCTTCAGCCAAACACACTGACCCACAGTGAAGACCCAGGGCCACAGCTTCAGCCATACGCACTGACCCACAATGAAGACCCAGGGCCACAGCTTCAGCCATACGCACTGACCCACAATGAAGACCCAGGACCACAGCTTCAGCCAAACACACTGACCCACAGTGAAGACCCAGGGCCACAGCTTCAGCCAAACACACTGACCCACGATGAAGACCCAGGGCCACAGCTTCAGCCATACGCACTGACCCACGATGAAGACCCAGGGCCACAGCTTCAGCCATATGCACTGACCCACGATGAAGACCCAAGGCCACAGCTTCAGCCATACACACTGACCCACGATGAAGACCCAAGGCCACAGCTTCAGCCATACACACTGACCCACGATGAAGACCCAAGGCCACAGCTTCAGCCATACTCACTGACCCACGATGAAGACCCAGGGCCACAGCTTCAGCCATACAGCTCGTGGATAGAATGAGAACAGCACATCTCTGTACAGTGGATGATCCTTATAACCCATACATGTAGCTGCCAAGAGATGTACATGTATTGTCATTGTACATGTATTTATTATATTCCATTGGTATTTTAGAAGTCTAATATTTTAAATATTGTAGCATCATTTTATTAACAATTTACATGTGCTATGTTCATCTATGGTGTGCCTATGGCGGCGAGGTGCAACATCCTCTATAACCCAACACTCAGCACTGATTGAGAAATAAACAATAACTATACTAGACTGTAATTGACTGAGAAATAAACCATTGGAATACAATTTTTTTACAAATTTTCATCAATTCAGAATCAGATTCAGTAAGTTTGTCAGACTATGTTTTAATGATTTAGATCAAACTAAGGCCACGCCGAATTAATTTTATGAAGAACCCCAAAAAAGTGCGCGGAGGCGAATAAAAAAAAATTCCAGCCAAAAATAAAAATGCTACTAAACCACAGGAATACAAAGCAGGTATTGTGAATTTGCGGCAGCACTTAGCGACGTATACGACAAGCCGGCACATGCTGGCTTTTTTTGGAATTTATGAATCGGCACTGTACGTAGACTGTATGTACTGAGTTCTTGAATCGTGGAGCTTTCGTAGCCTGGGTGCCCGGCTCCGTATTGTTGCTAACTACCATGGACTACCCAGGCCTAGTGTCAGGCCTAGAGCCAGGCCAGAGCCTCGGTGGACGTCGTGATCTTTTTTTTTTGAGAACAGGCGAAAATTAATGCGTGCGTGGATGTCATCCATAAAATTAAGTCCTAACTTAAAATTAAGTCCTAAAAAGTGTGGCCTAACTGTAAAATGGATGTACCATTAAATGCAGGTTAAAATGATTTCTGCTTTAGAAGTCTGAACAGACCCCACAAGCACCACTTTCAAACGCCAAGCTCTCAGTCTGTGAGGAGAATACATGACATACATGCATGTACTGATGAAAAATGCCAAAGGAGTTCTTTCTCCATCTTGCCTTTATCTAAAATGAGTCTCATAAAGGCAAGACGGAGAAATAATCCCTTTGGCATTTTTCATCAGTACATGTATGCCATGTATTCCCCTCAAGGACTGAGAGCTCGAATCAAAGAGATGCCGATTGAAAGCGGTATGATTAATTTCTGAACGTTTCTGTAAGTTTCACTGTGTAAGTGTTAAATTATTAAAAACTTACCAGTAATCCAAAATTATAATTATAACTTAATTGCGCAACAGTTGTACAGTGTACAAAGTATGGCATCTACTAACTTAAGCAAGTACAATTGTCAACTCGACATTAATACACTTTCAACAAACAGCAAATGATTCTGTAACAGTGTGTGTGTGTGTGTGTGTGTGTGGGGGAGTTGTAGGCACTAGCAGCTGATCCGGTGACAGATCTAGATCTTTGGCCAAGGCCCAGGTTCGATTCCTGGTGTGGGAACCTCTGTAAGAATGAGAAAAGTAGAAACAGAAAGACACTCCCTCCTGGTCCCAGACCAGGGATCGAACCCACGCCAAACCCGGGCACCAGTTCAAACCCCGATGCTCTAACGATTCGGCTAAAATGTCTAGATCCATCGGCCAGATCAGTTGGTAGCGCCTATAAACCCCCCACTGTTACAATTCTACCGAGAATTAGTTTGAGGATTTATCAATTTTGGTGCATTTTTTCCCTAGATGAAATGATATTTATTTCATGGTTCACAATACAAAAAGTATACTTGTCTAGTATTAGTAATTAGCATGTCCAAGGGGTACAATGTATTGTGCAACACTATTCCTCATGTTGTTGTGTCTTGGACTTATAAGAGAGACAATAATAATGATAAGTATTGAAAAAAGTAAAAGTATTGTCTGTGTACAAAAATATTGAACAACTGAGTTATATGAGATTCTTTATTTCATGTTTCATCAAAACTAACAACTTATTACATTGTATTTGTTGCTGATTATAATGACAACACTTTCAGGGCTCCAGATACTGTTTTCTGAATACCTGCACTAGCGCAACTTGTGTATAGTAACAAAGGAGTCCCACTCAACTGTCATATATGATACCGTCAATATTGTGAATATTGCTCATATGAAAGAAGTTAAACTAGAAGATAACTGCCAGGGAGCCCAAATCTAATCATTTCTAGGTCTCATCAAGACCTACCCACCTACCAAGTTTCATGACAATGCATGTAAAGCTTCTTGAGTTATGCTGTTCACAGACGGACGGACAGAGAAACACTACTGAAAACATAACCTTCTTGGTGAAGGTAATAACAATACAACATAAAGTAAATGCTGATTGAATACATGATAAATTAATGTTAATGCCCCGCCTTGGTGGTTTACTCGGTTTATCGCAACTGACCATGGATTATCTCACCATATACATGATGTACACCTCAGGCAGGCCTTTAAAGGCATCCAATGCGATTTCAGAGCAGCAACACTGGAAATATTCTGAATGAGGCAATCTTAAAGTTTGTGGTATTGACACATACTGCTTCACATTAGCACATCCCAATCGGTATTTCATACTTTGGATATTTAAAACTGCAGAAACAATCCCCAAGATGGGTCCTTTGTTTTCTGGGTGGTACCCTAAAAATCAGCACAGGGCCCTTCCAGTAATCATTTTCTGTCAGAATTTTGGGTATTTTTGCTCCATTAAGGGTCAATATACATTGGGATAGTGTGGTTTCAACTCAGTATGTAGATAAGTGACTAGAATATTGGCTTTGAAAAATCTGGTTTCCAAGCCCTAAAAACTGCACTGGATGCCTTTAATATTCCTAACAGTTGCAGCTGTTCTCTCTCCAGATGCCGGGGTCCTGCCTGTGGTGCACCTGCCCGGAGCGTATGCGGCAGCTGCTCCCGGACAGTGTCTCGCTGCGAGCGCCGGCGTGGCTGAACACGGTTCACCAGGACCTACTGTACTGCTGGGACTGTGTGCTGGAGTATCACCACGGCAGGGAGGCTGTCACACGGGCTAGGCCGGATCTAGCAAAGGTACGGCAAATGCATGTATAGGGCACGTTGGCAGAACATACTGTACGTGCACAAAATCTGCAATGTATTGCGTATAGCACTTTGGCAGAATGTCTTATATAAGGTTGTATTCACGTATACGATGTATAAGGTTAACATCCCGTCTGCATTTTTCAAATGTTATTACAGAAAAGATATTGTCGGCAACAGACAAAATTTTGATGCAGCGTTGACCAAATCCAACAGAAAACGTGAAAAATCGGGGTTTCGCGCAGGCGCAGTGTATTTTGCCGATGCGCTTATGTACAATAATTCTACCAGTGTACAAAATACTTTTTTTGAACCAGGTTGCCCAGTGGGCAACTTACGGCAAAAATTAGGTTGCCCATCAGAATTTTAGGTTGCCCCACCTATATGCTATAAGTTACGACTTTCCTCAAATTAAGTACTGGTAATGTTATGTGTAATTACATACATAAGCCTTTGACAATATTTTTCTAACAGCCTTTAGTTAACTGATATCAGTAATTAATACCTAAAATTAAAAAGCATCTGCAGGCTACAGTGGTGCAAGCCAAGTGGGCATGATTTTTTTTTGGGGGGGGGGGGGCATTCTTAAAATTTTAGGTAGCACACTGGGCTACCTAGGTTCAAAAATAGGTTACCCCAAGTAAAATTTGGTTGCCCGGGGCAACTGGGCAACCAGGTATTTTGCATGCTTTGTACATTTGTCATTTGAATTTGCTGTGGTTTTCTTTCATACTACAAACTTAATGTAGGAGGGAAAATGAGTTTTTCATTGTGTTCGAACAAGGAGGTTAGGCCTAGGAAAAAATTGTTTTTGTTGTGTTTCTGGCTTTCCACTGGACTACACATGCTTACTCAAGTTACTGGAGTAAAACTAACCTGCAATCATTGCATGTACCATATACAAATGTTTTTCCTTCATCTTAGGTTCTGACACAAAAGGAAGTGGCAAGACTGGAGGAAAATTTCACCCTCAGCCTGGATCACCATGACAACTTGGATGATGCTGTTGCCATGGAAACACTACATTTACCCCTGTTGGAAGTGCTGAAGTTCCCCTACCTCCTGTTGCATCAGAAGTTGGGTAAGTTCTCACACAAAAAAATTGCCTGATGTACATTTGCATTCATCTTATATTTGGAGTCACAACTGCATACAGAATTTTACTTACATTCACTCATACTTGTAGTTAAGAGCTAGAGACAAGAACATTATTTCAAAGGCATCCAATGCATTTTCAGGGCCCCCCCCAAAAAAAATATTTTGGATTATGAAATCTGATGTTGGCATTAACTGCCATTTCTTAATTAGCACATTTTCACCATCATTTTCATTCTTGTAGCAAACATTGAAATAGCCCAGAAACAAGCTACACGAGGAGTTGCTTTATTTTATGGTATATGTACCACCAATAAATAGCTAGAATCAGCGTATGATACCAACAAGCAATCCATCAGCAACTTGTCATTTTTGCCTCACAGATGCTGTTATAAGCTTTTCGCCAAGGTTGATTCAACTCTACATTAACCCTCAACAGAACACCTTCCCGGACTGATTAATCTGTACACCTGGGGTCCGCGCTAATTTTTAGAAATTATCAACATGCTACCAGTTGAATTGTTTTTCAAACTGATCTGGGAACCTCTGTGTCCACATTACATACAAAAATCATGCATTTTGAACTTTTTCTATTTTTTGGTGAAGAAAAGAAGACAAGAAGAAATACCCGATTTTTAAACCCATTTCAGACTGAAGGGGCTTTTGAGGCCCAACTTTGATCTCAGATAGCGGCTAATCGGCTTGCGCTAGAAGTATCAAATTTGGAGACCTTTCCTAAAATGTCTCTGGAAAAAAGTTCATATTAGTTTAATACTAGTAAGTTGATGTTTTTTTGTGTTGCCATGGCAACGGGTTTCTAGCAGGCAGTTTGTTTTGAAAATAGAAGTAATTTTGGTTTAAACATAAAAGAGTTTTATATTAAATTACACTTCTTTTACAACATTGACAACATCTTACATAATTAAATATAAGTTAAATCATTTAATATGCATAGAATATGCTAATTTGATGACGTCATTGGTCAAAATCCAAGATGGCGGACTATATTATTAGCTCTGACGTCATATGACGTCTTAATTACACCAAAGTTATTGAAATTTAATTCTATTACTACACCATTCTCTGAAAACTTGGTAGACATACGATGAGTGCATAAAAACATATAAAAACGGAAATAAGGTAATGTATAAGAACGCCAGTGTATCCATTATGATCGAAAGCCGGCTGGGGTCCGCGCGGACCCCAAAAGAAAATCAGATATACTTTTTTTTATAAATGGTAGAAACGGAGTTTTCTGCACTGTATTACTGTATTGAGAGACAAGTTTGTGGGTGACAATTACCTAAAATTTCAGAAAAAAATCTTTAGAAACAAAAAAGATATTACAGAATATATAGTGCTGGGGTCCGCGCGGACCCTAGGTGTACTGTTTAGGGTTAAAAAGGACCAGAAAATTGACATTGAAATTCCAGGTTTACTGCCTGAAATCGTTGTAGATGTCTTTAAAGGTAGAATGTACATGTTCCTGTACATGGTGTTTTGTTTATCAGAATTGTACTTTTATATTATTAGTCTAAAGAAGTCTGATTAACCAAGTTCTACCTTACTCTTACCCAGCCTCGTTAGTAGAACGTGGTATCCAGGCCCTGTCCACGTCAGGCCGGCCACTCATTCTGGAGGAGAAGTCAGCAGGGGTGTATCTACTACTGGTACATCCCAACAGACAGGTGAGCGGTCAGGTTTTTTAAAAAATCTGAACATGCAGAATCTGTACATGTTGTATGTAGTAACGGTAGACAGCTTTATATTTTATTCACATTTATTTTTTCGAGGATTGGGCAAAAAGTTATAAAACTTATCTCAGCCCTCTCCTCACACATAAAAGGAAACAATAAAATAAAGTAATAATAATAATATTAAGAAATGACAAAGGTACATAATGAGCTGATGTACATCAATCTAATCTCCAAGCAGATCTTTTGGTGGGGGTAAGACAGTATCAAATTGGCCAGTATCCATTTTCCCACCCAAGATCTGCCTGCACTCGAACAGGGAGGAGCACTTCTTTTCAAAAATGGTGTTGCTGCCCCTCCTTGTGCCCCTATTAACAGCTATCAAAATTTGTTGTGCTAAGATTTTTACAAGCGGTTTATAGCTTGAATCTGGGACAAATGCAGTCACCCGCGCACATCTCAGTGGGAGTTCTTACCTAACCCTGTCCAGATAATACTGTATGCTGGTACTAAAGTATGCTGGCTGAAACATAGAAATGTCAATAACTGGGTTTATTGTGGTTCAGAACTGCAGATATCACAAAACATATGTTGGACCTTCTTTTCCTTTAGTTAAACTGAACAAAATAACAGTTGGTGAGGGGACCCATAGAGAGACTTCATGTAATGCTCAACCAGCTGGCTCACTAGGAGGGCAAGAGCCTTGCCTGGTGGTCAGGGCAATAAACTACTTGGCAAGAATATTTTGATCAGGCAACAACTAGGTGTTAATAGCCTTTGATGTTTCGACTGGAGGCAGATCTTGGGTGGGGAAATGGATACAGACTGGCCAATTTGATACTGTCTTACCGTGTTCCTCAGAGTTAGAGATGCCATGAAAATCATGATATTGCTTTAATTTACATGTTTGTTGATAGAAATGATGAGAACCATCTAAATTACATGTAACATCTGTGTCCATAATATCACCAGGGTCCATAATATCGCCACCTTGAGAAATAGTGTGCTTTAAGATATTTTTACTGCAACATACCCTAGGTATGTACATTTGAGGTGTGCAGGAGTACATACCAAAAGTATGTTGCATTAAAAATATCTTTAAGCACACTGTTTCTCAAGGTGGTGATATTATGGACCCTGGTGATATTATGGACACAGATGTTCATGTACATGTATGTCCTGCTTTCACACACACACACACACACGGTCACACACACACACACAGACATACACACATGGTCACACACACACACACGGTCACAAACACACACACACACACACACATACACATACACACATGGTCACACACACACACACACACACACATACACACACACACACACAGGCATATACACATGGTCACACACACACACACAGACATATACACATGGTCACACACACACACACAGACATACACACATGGTCACACACACACACACGGTCACACATACACACACACACACACACACACACACACACACACAGATATACACACCTACAAAATGTATGGTCCTCCCTTACCTATATTTCTTCTTGTCTCACAAGAATTTCATCTACACGTATTTTCTCTGACCACAGATCAGGAAATGGGCGATCAAGTCGGTCCGTTCCCTGGGCATGGTCCAGCCGCATCAGTACGAGGAGATCAAACCTGTGATTGGCTGGCTGCTGTCCGTGGTGAACTTTGACCTGTTTGAGAACCCTGGGATAGGTATGGATGTTGATGACCCTCCCTGTGGGATGGAAGACTCTGTTGTCCTGCCTCCGTTCCTGTTTGACACCTGCGGCTACAAAGACTACTGGTTAGGTAAGGAAGTTAACTGTATTTTTACCCGGTACTGTGAGGTACACATGTATGTAGGAGAAGGAAAGGCAGGGGTTTAAGACATGAAAGCATTAAACTCATCAACATAATCTATCAATTTGGTAGGTTTTGCATGTTAAGTTTAGGTTAACATTGATGTAGTTGCTATATGTTTGCATTATGTTCATTGATGACTGTGTGCTTCAGTGAGAACCTTAACTGCTATTCTTTAACCAGCAGGGAACTTTTGCTGGGGGCAACCTATTAGGCCTCTGGTTTTACCCTGGGTACCGGTACTAGTATCTGTTTTTTATCTCCGGGGAAGGAGACATCCCTTGGTGGAAGGGTATTGTAAGAGTTGGGATTTTCATGTTCGCAGCTGTTTCTCGCGTTTGGGTGGACGGATGCAAAAATATATGCAAAAATTTGCATATGTGCATACATTACCTACATCAAACCCATACAACCTGTTAACCCTTGTATATCCTATGTATCATCAGCCATTTGTCCTACATATCTTGCCCACCGGGTTGTGTAAATTTTGTGTAGATGTCGTTGTTACCAGTACGTTATTACCTTCGCCAAGAAGGTTATGTTTTCAGGGGCGTTCGTGTATGTGTGTGTGTGTCTGTCTGTCTGTAAACACGTTAACTTGAGAAGGCCTTGATGGATTGTCTTGATACTTGGTAGGTGGGTAGGTCTTGATGAGACCTCAAAATGATTAGATTTTGGGCCCCCTAGCGGCTTGTTATGGTACTGCAGCTGAACTTCCTGTTTTGATATCTCATGATCTAGACATGCTGGGGTGATGAAATTTGGATGGTAGGTAGCTCTTGTGCTGGGGAAGAAGTGACGTGAGTTTGGGCCCCCTAGCGGCTTGCTCTGGAACTGCAGGGATATATTCTTGAAAATATTCAAAAGGGGATAACTCAAGAACCGATTGACGGATCGTCGTGATTTTTGGTATGTAGGTAGCTTACGCGATGTTGAATATAATCATTATGCAAATATGATGTAATTTGCATAATTTATGGGGAAATTCTATAAATCAGCTGCATTCCATGATAGGACAATTGAAGCTTGTGACATTGGTAATTGACAACGAGAGAAACACAGGATGATATTGATTATGTTAATAATGACTTAATTTGCATAATTAAAGAGAAAATTTTATAATTATGTAATGATAACTGCCTGGAATTTCATACTTGTGGTATTTGAAAGTTTAGTTGAGGTGAACATCATTAAACATAATTTATTCAAATCAGGACCTCATTTGCATAATTTATTAGGAAATGCTAGAATGCATTGTTTGTTAATATAAGACTGTCTTTTGGTTGAGATTATGATAAAATGATATAATTCATGAAAATTGGGTTCCTATTTCTTAAATCAGGGGGGAATAATCTAATCTATAATTTGTCAGTCATAAAGATTAGCATCATTTGGCGAAGGTATGAGATCGGGGAACTCTAGTTCGTTATAAAATAACTGGATCTGGACATAGAACTTGTGCCAAAATTTATATCCAACACCTAACAAAACCTGGAACGCTAAGTCTAACACATCAAATTTAACACCATCAACTACACATAACAAACAACATATAGAAATACAATAAACAACCCTAGGTGTAAAATCTCAAAGTCCCCTGCAGTTCCAGGACAAGCTGCTAGGAGAACCAAACCCACACCACTTATTCCTGACAGGAAAAGCAATCTGTCACCAAAAAGTCAAGACCGTAGCATGTTCAGGACAAAAGATACAAAAACCGGAAGTTCTGCTGCAGTACCAAGGTCATCCACCAGAAGGCCCATATTTGACCTTGACCTTTGTCTTCCTAAGACTTATCAGCATACCAAATATCATCACAATTCATAAAGCATAAAGGCGTTATGAAGTTATGCCGCCTACAAAGTTGCGGAAACACACACACACACGGACAGACAGACAGACAGACAGACACACACACACACACACAGACAGACACGCCAAAAACAATACCTCCATTTTTCATGGAGGTAATTAGTACATAACTGCTGATAAACTGTTGAAAAGTATCTCAGGCACAACTGAAAGAATGTGACTGTATGTCTTCAGGCATCTGTCTCCTGCTGTCCTCCCTGGACCCCTCGACCATGAGGACTCAGATGTTTGGGGCCAGCGGACACAGACACATCCCTGATGCAGTCCTCAACGCCATGGAACCACAGCAGGGTAAGAGTAACCATTCTTATAAGTAGCAACCGGAAATCTCATCTGTTCAGTATTTATTTTTTTTTATTTAGGGACATTTATCACATTTGTGGAAGGACTGACATCACAGGTGACTGTCACCTCTTCAAGATGTTGCCCATACATGTAGGACCAGACTGTAAGGCTTAAACCACTCACACTGGGAAAAACCCCTGCTCATTTTGATAAATGAGGAGGGATCTACATGTGCTCACTGTTCATGGTGTGGATTTATATCTTATCTGAGAGGACGTCCCTATAGCTAACCAAAGCTCATTTCCACCTGAATGAAGGGAGGAAATAGGACCTGGTGTAAAGTGCCTTTCCCAAAGGGCTAAACCGTGGGCCCTGCCAGGGAATCGAACCCTGAACCTTTGGATTCTGAGTCAACAATTCTAAACACAATACCTCTTTGCCACCCTGGTCTGATTGAGTCTTTGTTCCCTGTCAGCTTTGTTAAAGTTCCTGTCAATTTTGTATCATCAAATTTGGAGGCAATTAAGTACTAGTACATTAAATCATGCTACGTTTCTGTGATACCAGAACATTTTGAACAGGCAATGTTTGTTTGTTTGTTTATTTAGGAAACTCCATTTAGTGATGATACATCGCTATTCTTCCTGGTGTCCTTTACATAAAATACATTAACTATTATTTACATACAGGTTTAACTGCTATCAAGAAAACTTATCTTAATATAAATATCAACATAGTGAATTACAAATTAAGCATCAATTAATAGTAAATTACACATTAAGCATCAATTAATACATCAATTAATAATATTACAATATACAGTTAACCCAAAAAGCAACTATGTACTAAATGTCTGAGAGGTCAGAGGTCAATGAATTTGTACAAAATACATTCAAAACCCCTCACAGGTCTGAAGGCGGGTGGTTTCTGGCCGGCGCTGCAGTGTCTGGTGGTGCTGTTTGACCGGCTAGGCTCACGGATCTGGCAGTTCATGTCACATGACCCAGCAACAGTCTTCTCAACCATCACCCAGAACAAGCTGTTCCAGAAAGAACTGCTCTCTATGGAAACCTGCCAAGGGAAGAAGAGGTGAGTTTAGCCAATGTTTTGTATAATATTTACATTGATAATGCACCTGTCTGCATGAATATTGAAGGAAGATGGCAGGCTATTGGCCAATGAGAACTGGAGAATACATGTACATTGTAGCACTGGCAACATGCAATTTATGTATTGTGATTTTCAAGATTTGTATGTAAAAATAATTTTGCATGTTGTACATACATGTAGACATGTATGACAGTGTTTCCTTAAAAAATAATTTAAACAATTATTGGTGCTGCTATGTTGCTATTACAGTGCCACTTAACTCATTTTAAAATCTAGTTTTTTTTCCTATTTTCCCTGATAATTTTTCTCAAGTCTATCAAACTTCATCAGATTTGCAAGCAGGCACCTCATTTCTTCTTGATGTGCCCACTACTCTGTACAAATTTCCCTCTATCATAAGAATGTGGCGTTGGAGATTTTATTTTGTATCTTGTAGTACATGTACATTGTATATCTGGAGGACACTGAAGGCTAAATCAAATTTATTTTGCATGTAGATTTTTTAACTCGCATGTTAAAAAAACATGCAATTTTGCATGTACATTGTAACTAAAAATAAGTATTTCAAGCCCTGCAGATATTTTCTAAACCAAATGAGAATTCATAATACACTATTTTTTCTTGCAGTAGTGATGCAATGGTTTCCTCAACATCCAAACACACTCCAACTAAAAGCCAGCCTAGTCAGTTGCCTGCTTCCCCATCCCTTTTCTTGGAAAGATATTCAGTAAAACAGGAGTGTGATAGCAGCTGCCAATCACAGACAAGCTTCTATAGGCAAGAGCCAATCAGGGACTCCGGTAGTAGCACCGCTGCAGAAGATCACTGTAGCCAACCAATCACAGACAGTCAAGCTGTGTATGAGGCTTCTGATTGGTGCCTTCATCAGACCAATGAAGCTGTTGCTCTCAGAATACCTGAGGATGACCTTCCAGAGGTTAAACTGTACTCCAGCATTCCTGATGTCTTGACAGCCCAAACAAAGTCAGCAAATGTGCATACTTGTGCTTTCACCTGGTTCGTGCCATATGTAAGTTCACTTATTGAGTTTGGTGAAATAGCAGGAGAACACTTATCATCAGTAATTATGTTCCTTGCTGAGCATTCTGACCATACTATGCATGGGACTCCCTCATATCAGTGTAAACTAGTAGAACAGTGCCTTACAGTATTGCTGCATCTTTTGGAACTGCTGGTGTCCAAGAACATGCACAGACTGTTGTTGCCTACATGTAGGGTTTGGGTTTCGCTTGCACTGAAGCACTGTACTGGTCAGAAGTTGTCGCACAAGGCAATGTGGTCTTTGGCTAAACATGGAACACATGGAATCAACCAAACATGCCTCAAGCTGCTGGTGAGCCTTCTGAAACAGGGAGTCAAGATACAGCAAGATGACAGAAGTGTGCAGTTCCTGGACAAGCTGAACTTGCATTTGTTTAGGAAGAGAGGTCCTGACAGAGACCCAACTTCAAGAGCACTCCTGTCTGAGGTTGAAGTGCAGGAAATACAGAAGTGCATAGAAGGGATTCTGAAGGCAAAGGTAGCATCCAGTGCAATGTCAGCAGTAGTGCCGTCTTCCATGCAGTGTGACCAATCAGAAGGCAGAGAGATATTACACCAGCCAATCAAGTGCAATGATGATAGAAGTGTGGCATCACCATCTGCTGGTCCCTCCTGGGAATCATGTGCTTATGATGATGATGAAGTCGACCTTCTCACTACCTCTAGTGACGACATTGACTTGACAGAAGCAATCAAGTCTGTACAGAAAGAACTGGACAACCTAGAATGCAATTATAATGATTACTTCGAAAAGGAAGAAGATCACCCAGAGTCTCCAAGAGATTGCTTGGACCCCACAATACAAGGTACTGATGAAAGGATGACTTCTTTCCGTGAAATGTCGCTAGTAGTTAAAGAGGAGCCCTCAGACTCCAAACAAGGAGGCAGTAAGAGAACTGGGCACAAATCTGGAACTACAGATAAACCCAGTCATGCAAAGGGAGTGAACAAGGAGGTAGGAGACTCTGCTGACACTGATATTCTACTCCTGACAGGCCTGTTGAGTGAGAATGTAGCTCAGAAAGGCTCGCAAAGGATGATGCAGAACATATCTCTCACCCCGACTCGCAAGGAGAAGTCCAAAGCTACAACCAGCCCAGCTTTCAAGAAAGCGACAGGAGTAAAGATTAAAACTGAACCCCAGTCAGAGCCCACTGATCGGAGTTGCAGAGTGTCTACAAGTTTATTCCAGAGAACAGAGCAACAGAAACACACTGCACGTAAAACTCTCCCATCCTCACTACCAGTTGCAGACAGAAATACAGAGAGAACTTCTCCAGCTAAGGTAGACCACGCGTCACCCGTGGCAAGTAACAAAATTCGCACTGCACGGAAGAGTGTCATGCCGTACATTCAGAGTACTGGAAGCAAGGAGTCTTTACTTTCCTGCAAAGAAGGTGTTAAAGATATGATTTCGGACATTCAGGGTCTTCCTGTACATAGCAGAGATATCTTCGTCAAATCAGAAGAAGGACCACCTAGTTCAGGAATCTCTGTCAAATCAGAGAGAGAACCAGCTAGTTTTGCACAGAATACAGTCCAGGACAACATCAGTGATGGTGCAGTTTCAGAAGATTCTGTCATTGTTATTTCTGATGATGATGAAGATGACATGGAGGACCACAGGAGACAGTCTGGAGAGGAGAAACAGGGTGTGTGTTCTTTTCTGTTACTTAATTCTAGTGTTTCAGTTCAGCATGGGCAGGGCTCGAAATACTGGGTGCATGCATTGTGCACCTCAGTGCACCCAAATTTGGAGCTGTGCACCCATTTTTTTTCTGTGTCATCTGTGTCAAATATTTTTATAGGTTTAACGTATATAAAGATAATATTCTTATTCTTTACATATACATGTAAGTGTCTTATAGATTCATATTCTTAACATCTAAGTGTCAGAAAAAATAATACAACAATAATAATAGTTATTATTAATAGTACTTTCCTAGAAATGAAACATGATCATTATAGTTTTTATAGACATTCTACTTATTTCATCTTATATGGTGCACCTAAAATATTTTTTGTGCACCCAATTTTTTAGGTTGAGTGCACCAGTGCACCTATTAAAAAAAAAATGAATTTCGAGCCCTGGTACAGGTCTGTGTTTATGCAGCATAGTGTAGATTTAGACCTGCAGTAAGACACATAAACCTAACATACATCTAACCTGGGAGCATCGCACATCCACATGACTACTCACACTTGAGTATGTCACTATTTTTTTGTCAAAGTGTGATGTATATTATAACTTTATTGCACAACAGTTGTACAGGGTACAAAGTATGTATGACAAACAGATTTAAAAAAATTATTGAGATTCTTCTATTCATTTATAGCTGTCCCTTTTTCTAAGTTGATAGTTTAAGAGACTACCGTTTTCTGTTTCTTTCACATGAATTTGATCTCATCATGAGAACACTTTATCTTGTAACAGATCTACATGTACAAGAGAACAGAGTCAACCTCCTTCATTTGACCCTGCCTAACATGCAGCCTAAAGTGGTCCTGAGGAAACTCTCACCTCGCACAAGTAAGTCAGCTACTTAAAAATCTCTAATTATAGTCTGTGTGGTGTAGTGGATAGAGCGTCCGACTGTTTGGCAAGAAGACCCAGGTTCAATCCCCAGGGTTGGACCCAGACATGTCTGAACATGCACCCAGACGTTGTGCCCTTGGGAAAGGCACTTAGCACACATTTCCCCCCTCAGTTAGAGGGATCCCAGGCCCTACTAGGGTTTGGGTTGGCATTAGGAAGAGCATCCACCCTCAAAAAAAGACTTGTACTTGGTGCAAGCACGTCTAAACCCCGGTTGGGGAAAAATGACGTTAAATTCGGTTTAAAAAAAAATAGATACACATGTATAATAAAATAGATAAGTTATGACTCATGGTGTTTAGTTTAAAGCCAGGGGCCTCATGTTGTTCCGAGTATCGCGTTCCGTCATTTGTTTGTTCCATGATTGGCTGTTGGATTCATTACTTTTTTTAATGAAACCCAAGCAGATGTCAGGAGGGAAAGACTGGCCAAAGAAAAGAAGTGACGCAATTCTTTACAGCATGTAACTTCTAATAAACTATCACAAAATATCTGTTTTTTTTTCCATTAGACAGAGCTCATGATACATTACACTTATGCATCTATGTTCAGTCTTATTACCGTATGTATATTTTAAAAAAAAATACAAAATTATAACAAGACAAAGACAGGGTGATGCTGCATTCAACTTTTTTTTGGCCAGTGCCACTCAACAAAATATACAAGAACGTACTAAATACCGCCTATTCCCATCTTGGCCTGAGCAGCTTTTTTTTTAAAAGCATTCCTTGTTTGAGAAATGATTCCAATGCTAATACAGTCTGAGATGTAAGTGAATATGATGCACTGCCATGAGAAGTAAACTTTAGATAATTTATGAAGATCTTTTTCATCTCCCCCTCTCCAGTTGAAGCTCACATGTCTGGTAGAAGAGCCTTCTTCCCACAAGAACAATCGAGGACAAACTGGGAAGCCTCCGCATCTGACAGTGAGGAGGACAGCTTCCCTGTGTCTACAGGAAGGCAGGGGAAAAAACAGACCTTTAGTAGCAGTGGTGAGGACCTGTCAGACATTGACTCTGTTCCCTTGTCTGCCCTAGTCAAAATGTCTTCCTCAAAGGTAGATGGTGGTAAGTAAGATTGTAAGTTTTCCGTATATAGTAGAGGGGATTCATTCCTCAAGCTACCGACATCTTGCACACGCAGTCGTCTGACATCTGGAGCCGCTTAGTTCCTGTTTAGAACTTTTATTCAGCCTGTCACACAGAGGATTGTAAGGTTTCCATCATACCTGGGCTCTGATAACGTTTGATACAAGTGTTTTTGGGCGGCCCATATGATACATTTGTAACTAGCGGTATCACAAAGGCTTCTAACAGTTATCATACTGGCTTCCAACATTTCTGTAGAAAATGTGAACGCGTTTTGCGTGTGCTGCTTTCGAAAACTTGAATACTGGATTCGGGCATTGAAAATGATGTTGACCTACATTTGTACATTTTTTGGTTCGGGACGGCAACTTTTGTTAGCTATTGGCACAAAATTTTGCATTCAAATGTGTGCTTATCCCAAAATTGTGTACATGTATATGAAAAGGTGATCTGATCCATATTGTTATGATAATACAGACGTCATCAGTATCTCAGACTCATCTGAAGAACCATCCTCTGTAGACAACGCACCACACAAGATGAGTTCCACAGGAAACAGGTGGAAACAGAAGGTTCTTAAGAAGAGGAGAAGAAGTGTGGTTCTGTCTAACAGCAGTGATGAGGATGAGGATGTTAGACAAGATTGTGTTCAGCCGATGACTTCAGAAAAGGGTATGGAAACAGTAATCTACTCTAGAGTAGGACATAAATTGCTCATTATCTTTCCTATAAATATCATTTTTTTTATACATGTACTATCATGAAAGTTTATCTCTGTTTGTAGTTACATGTTTAAAGTTAAAACTTTTCGTCCAACACAAAAAATTCTCTCACCTAGAGCTTTCGACCAGTCACTCTGGTCTTCCTCAGTAGCTCTAGGTGAGAGAATTTTTTTGTGTTGGACCAAAAGTTTTAACTTTAAACAAATATCATTTTTAATAGGTTTTATACTGAAGTTTGACTGATTATGAAGCAAGTGTAATTTTTGACACAAGAAATTGGAATTTTCGACTGTACACTTCCAGTCTTTGTTAAGGAATGAGTAATCCACCGCTCTTGTGATGTCACGTTATGCAGATGTCACACATGACTGGGTGAGCAATGGATCATAGGTTGCAGAAAGTCTGACTTTTTTTGCATGAGCCAGACTTTATTGCAAGATGTATTAAAGAGGCCACCTACATCAGGGCATTGCATCAGTCCCTTAACAAAGACAGGGGGCACCACAGACTTTCTACAACATACAATCCACTGCTAACTGAGTCATGTGTCATTTTCAGTGGATTGCTCATTTCTCAACAAAGACTGGAGTTGTACAGTCGAAAATTTGGGTATGTCCAATTTCTTGTGTTGGAAATAACAGTTTTAACTGGCTTCATGAAATATAGATATCTCTATTTGAATTATGATTTGTCTACTGAATGTTTTCCTTCAGCTGCGAAGGTGGAAAAGGATCCGCTTGCCAGCCCAGGGATGCAGCGGAAGATCAAGAGGAAAGTTAGCAGACTATTTGGTGACTCCAGCTCAGAATCAGACAATGAAATAGATCAAGGGTCAATCAATGAGCACTGCAGAAAAAACATCTCTAACTCTTTTACTTCAAATGTAATTGAAGAGGAGAAGAGTAGAGACAGTATGTCGTCAGAATTCTCAAATGAAGACCCAAAGCAAAGTCAGTTGTCCACGTGTAGAGAAATGACCTCACCTGGTCCATCATCCAGAATTCTCAGCAAACTGTCGCTAAAAGCTGGACGGGTAGATGACCAAAGTAGTGGCCAGAATAGCCAAACAAGTCAATGTAAGAACGACCATGAAAGTGTAAGTGATGCCCACACAAGCAAGGGGAGTTTGACACCAAAGATGGAGATTGTAAGAATTGCCAGTGCCTCAGTTCATGTTGATGAAAGCAAAGATGCTGTAACCACCCAACCATCAGACACAAGTAACAGTCGTGCCTTCATAGCATCAGATTCAGAGGACTCAACCATTGTTCCAGCAGGCAAAGCAGCAACAACACAGAGCAAACTGCAGAACTCCCCTCTAAAGATAAATTCCTCTGTGGCAAGCAAAATCAGATGCCAGCTTTTGAAAAACCAGCACAAATCTACAGACACTACGCAAAGTAAAGTACAGAGTAGCGATGTAGAGAAGGGACAACATTCATCATCAGGAGAATCAAAGAAGAGAGAGCTAACGGATATGGAGCTTCTTGCAGCTGACAACAAGAACTCTGGCACAGATTCTCAGGAAGACACACTGGCCACATTTCTCATAGACGACAACGCTGAAGATCACTCGTACCTAATGGAGAGTAGTGACCAAGCCTGGCTCGACAGCGAGTCAGAGAAAGACGAAAGAACAAAGTGTTTCATCACAAAGAAATTCTACAAGTCATGCAGAAGAGATGCTGCATCAACCACACAAGACACCTCTACTTGTGCCTCCCTGAAGAGGAAAGATAGTCATCATGATAACATATTCTCATCTTCTATTGCTCCTGAAAGAAAAGCAGGTTCTACAGTTGAACAAAACACAAAGAAGAAGAGGAAGATAAGACACAAGGATTTTGAAGACAATTCTACAGTTAGAAGTAAAGATTTCAATAAACCTAGAGGCAGAGACGCAGCACATTCTCTTGCTGATACTTGGCACAGAGAGGATGCATGGGGAGGAACAAACGATGCAGAGAATGGCGACACCATAGATTATGACGAGCCTGTTTACTTTGACTTTGACCTGGACGAGGTTCCAGAGGAGGAACAGGAACATTTCCTGGCACAGAAGTTTGCCTCGTCACAGGAGACGCCAAAGAAGAAAACAGCGCGGAAGAAAAAGGTTCAGCACGTGCAGGCATCGAAGAAACTGGCAAAAGGAAAAGGTAACTTAGGCCACACCAATTTGATTTCTTGGTTAATGGATTTTTCTAGAAAAATAATGGAGCGGGCGGGCGAAAGAAAAAAAAACAGGCCTAGGCATCCTATTATGGCCCAAAATGGTACGATAGGAGCCATGAAGTCAACACACCGGACTAGTTCAAAATTTAAACAATGAATTTTTAACTTTTAATGATACCACTGCATTGAAAGATGGAATAACTGTAACAACGAGGAAGAAAAGGACTGTTTTCAACTGTTCAGGGCAAAATATGAGCATTTTGCAGTTGATTCTGAATTTTTATTTTTATTTGCAAATCAGAAAAAAATGAAGCGGGCAAATCCGTTAACCAAGAAATTAAATTGGTGTGGCCTTATTCCTTAAGTTTGAAATGATAGCAGTCTTCATAGAGTGTCTGTTCAAGGAGTGAAGTATAATGAACTTTGCTGGTTAGTTGCTTGAGTTATTACATGTACTGTAACATTTTTCCTGAGATTGCTATGAGTATGGGTAGCTGCATACTTGTCAAAATGTCTCATTCTCTGTATTTTTTCCAGTTGTATTGATTAACACAAGGTAGGATTGTTTGGGTGCAGACTTTGGAAAATAATCTTAGTGGAGTTTAAACCAAGAATTGGGTGACAAACTTGATACATGAAATGCCAACTTTTTTTTCAGGAGGGAAAAGGGTAAAGACTGCCGCCAGGCTTCGTCTGACGTCTCGCAGCACCATGCTGACAGAAACCATGATTCAGACCAGACGACCACACAGCAAGTCCAGTACAGAACCAGCTCAAACCAGTACTAGCCAGTCCAGCTCTCTTGAAACCAGTGCCAACCAGTCAGCTAGGAGCAGTACCGACCAGCCACAACTGGATCAAACTGATGCCAACCTTTCGGAACCTCCTGAAGGTCAACCTGAAAGTGCCTTGGGTGTTCCCATTAGTGCACAGGTGAAACAGCTTTGTATTGTTTGGGATTTATCAAGTTAAAGGGGCATTATGTAACATTTTTGCCCAAAAAATTGAAATGTTTTCATTTCAAAATCTTTGTGTGACTGTAATTTACTTCCACTTTTCAACATATTTGATTGATATAAATAATTATAAATTATGTACAATTTATCTCACATTCTGACATTTATGGTTGCTTACTAAAACAGCCCACACGAGGCACACTTTGTAGCACCTCCATAAACTACCAGAATGTAAACACACATGGCTGACAGCTTTGCTTCAAACTTCACACTCTACCCATACTAGAGTAAGGCAATATATATATATTTTGGTACCTCTACTTCCTGAATGGCACTTAACATGTATTTGCAATGGAGTAGGCTTGATTCAACTTGCTTTGTAAAGAAATGACCAAAACACTTTTTGTATAGTCCTAATGTTACATAATGTAGCTTTAAGTTCATACTCTACATGTACCATAAATGCGTCGATGAAGGTTAGACGTGGTGTGAGGCATTTCACTGGTATAGTACCCCTGGAAAATTTTCAAAAAAAAACTGTAACAACATCGTTGGTTCCTATTGTCTCTCCAGATCTCCACCACTGCTCCATCTAATTCGTACAAACAGAAACCAGCTGCAGTGAAACCCACAATAAAGGAGCTGCCCCCACCTAAAGTCCAGCCCAGCAGACCAGTCAACCCTGACTACTTCTTAACATGCCTCCTGCAGTGGAACCCTCAGTGGATGGAGGAAACAAGTAAGTTTTACTCTTCATTCCATTCAGGAATACTGTAAGGGATCCGCCATCTCAGTTTTGTCTTATGTCGCATCATGTTGAGCGCAGAAGGTGTGAGGCATTTCACTGGTATAGTACCCCCGGAAAACTTTGAAAAAAAAAACTGTAACAACATCGTTTGCAAGGTCCAAATCCGGGGTTTGAGTTTTCAAAAGTGGCATATGCAAAACGTGTTCAATTTATTTCTATGGAACTTTTCGAAGCCTGTGTGATAGCTGTTAGAACCCTGTCTGATACGACTAGTTTTCAGACAGACCAGAACACCTGTATCGAACATTATTGCAGCCCAGGTATGTTTGTATCTTCTTACAGCATGCAATGTCTGTAAGTGAGTAAATTATGGGCAAGTACATGTACTCCTCCAATGCCCGTCTCCACAAGCAAAGTAGGAGCCAGGTTTCTCGGTGCTTGAAGTTTACACTTATGTGTGCCAATAGCCCCGACGCTCTTGAAATGCTGATGAACCAGCCTAGGTGGTGTAGTAACAGTTTGATATATGCAAACTGTCCTATTTATTTGTCACGCGCCTTCTCACATCGAGAAACAGTATTGTGCACACGCTTTGTCATTTGGACGTGTTTACAAGGAGCCTCTACTGGCCGCACTTTTTAGATATCTGTATTGTGATTTGTGTATTTGTACTTGTTTTTGTATTGTCCCTGTTTTTATTTGGGCCTCTGGTCTGAAACAAAGAATAAATAAATAAAATAAATAAATAAATAAAACTTAAAAACCTCTCTTGTCTCCCTGCTGTGTTGACAGCCAGACCAGTGTTGCCCTTCCCTTGCCATGGCCTACAGCCAGTTCCTCAGATGTTTGGGTCATTTGACGACTACCTGAAAACCTTCACACCTCTCCTGTTACTGGAAACATGGGAAATGGTAACTATACTTCAATTTCAAGTACTAATAATTTTTCTACTGATACAGTAAGTAACATAGATTGTACTTATGTATATTGCTTATGGTTATTTTGCATTTCAACTGCACTGAAGGATGTTCATGTAATTATCCAGATGGTGCAGGTAAAATTTATTTGGTGCAGGTAATTTTCTTACCTGCACCAATGCAGGTATGCAGAAAAAAGGATTTTCAGCATTGCAGTATCATGTCTTTTTTTTATCCTTGAGCATGATGGTAGCTTTTATGTATATGTTATACTGAGGAAATGTGACCATGAATTGACAGATCTGTAAAGAGAGGGAGAGTGCAAACTCCAAAGGACCTGCTGCCCAGATGAAAGTTACTGTGGGGACTTGTTTCGAGGCACGGTGTCTTCAACTCATGCACACCCATAGTAAGTATTGAACACAACTTTTTGATTTTTAATGCAAAATACTGTATTATTTTCTTGCTGTATAACAACAGTTAGCCACAGGGGCAGGTAGAGGAAAACAGTCAGTACCAAGGAGAAGGAAACACAGTCAGCACCAGGGACAGGGAAACACAGTCAGCACCAGGGACAGGGAAACACAGTCAGCACCAGGGACAGGGAAACACAGCCAGCACCAGGGACAGGGAATCACAGTCAGCACCAGGGACAGGGAAACACAGTCAGTACCAGGGACAGGGAATCACAGTCAGCACCAGGGACAGGGAAACACAATCAGCACCGGGGACAGGGAACACAGTGACGATATTTTGTAGTTTCTATTCCTTTTCCATATTTTGATGTATAGTTTGATATGATTTTTAACACATTGAAATAAGTCACATTGGGGTTCTTCACAATATAGAAATTCCCATTGGCCAAAAACTATGTTCTGCTACCATACAACGTTTCACAAAGGCAACTTCAACAATTTTTTTTTCAGCCCTGGTGAAAAAACAAACCTCCACTCCTGCTGAGGGAGACCTGTTGGTGCTGAGTGCTGACAGGAGAAGGGACCAGGAACAGGACAGTCCCACACATGTACAGGCATTCGGTGTGGTGGAGAAGGTTATCAAACAGCCAAATATAGGTAAGTGCAGGGCTCGAAATACCAACAGTGGGATTGAATGTTAGTCTTGGAACCAAGAGGTCCTGGGTTCAAACCCTTCCATGCCACCAATCTTGTTCCCTTGGGAAAGGCACTTAACACAAATTTCTTGACTTCACTCAGGTGAAAATGAGTATTGTGTTGTCAAAAAAACAAGTTGAAAAAACCTCAGTGTTCCGCCACTACATTTTGTACGTCTTGTGATTCAATGTTATAAGAAAAAATGTAACTTGCAATATGCATGTGATTTTTATGTTTTGCATGTGACATTATTCTGGACATGCACCTTCGCATTTTGATCACGGTAGTGTTCTCTTTAGACTCTGGAATAATGGCACTGCTATGTTGCTATGTTGGTTATCTTCTTCTGCCATGAGACATTAAGGCCCGGTTTACACGTGCGTCATTTATATGTGTTGGACGTGAAACGACGCAAGAGCGCACGCGGCGCCGCACTGGATTTTTTTAGCGTGTAGACAACCTGCACCACCGACGCGCGGCGTCGCATGACGGCTTTCCTGTGGCACCTCCTGGACATGCCACAGAAAAGTGACGCGGTGGCGCAGGTTGTTTACACGCTAAAAAAGTATCGCACAAAACGTGCAGTTGGTAGAGTGCTCGCTTTGTAACCGGGAGGTCGTGAGTTCAGACCCCAGCCGGGTCATACCAAAGAATTAAAAAATGGTACACACTTCTTTCTCTGCTTAGCACATATGAGAAAGAGTGTGGGAAGGTCAAACACACAGCACTACCAGCGGACCAGCCCCCTGCTGTAGTGCATTGCACAACTGTCTGTCGCCCAAGGGCTACAGAAATGGATATGGGCACCACCCCTATGCTATGCAATAGAGTGGAACGGGACCTTTTAATGTTATGCAAGATGACTTGTATGTTCCAGGAGGAAGTAGTGATTACTGGAAGCTCACTGTGTGCATCAAAGTCAACCCAACAACCTTCCCTGTCACAGAGGGACAGACTGTTAACATCCAGGTAACGTAAAGCCTTGCGTACACTGGAGCCACAATTCTCATAGCTACAATGTACACTGTATATTGTACTAAATAGAGAAACTACCAAAATAATGGAGATATTGAAGCAACACTGTCAATGTGGCAGGATGACCAGGCAAATCAGAAAGATTGATAAAGTGACAGTACATACAGTGTTATAACAAGATTAAGAGCCCAAATATTACCTCGCCAAACTTTTGAAGGACTCTGTATTGTAACATAATAGTAGATAATTCTTAGACCCTTAGATACCTACAGATATATTTGTCATAATTGTATATGAATGAATGAATGAAGGAGACTGTTTTGTATATATTTTACTTACACCAGGGACATTCGTTTTAAACATTACGGCATCATAATTTTTGAAACAAGTTTGAGCAATCTAACCTATACTCTACAACTCAACTTTTTATTTTAAATTTTGTACATTTTTGTACTGAGAAATAATGTGAAGGATATGAATATACATATACTATATGCTAGTCCCTTTCGTATATATTGAGTTATAGTTGATGAAATTCAAACATGATAATTAAAGTGGTGTCTATAATTTGTGCTGGCTCTCAGGTGGTGACATCTCTGGTGGTGAGTCAGCGTCAGTGGAGTGGTCTGATCTTCCTTCATCGCTCCCTGCTCGCTAGGGACATCCTACGTCCTCGGGGACCCTCTGTCTTCTCTATCCAAACTGACTTCTCCCAGAGAGCACACGTGGTAAGCTTATTCAGAACATTCTTCTTTTGTCCTTTGGTCTTTGTTTTATTTGACAGAATTTTGTTGCCCAATCCATCATCTTTGACAGACAAAATCAGTGTGTAAAGTTATGGAAAGAGATTTCATCAAACTAAATGTAAGCTTAGTCTAGCAACAAAATTTGCACCTCAAAATGCATTTCAGAGGGTCAAGATTCAAGATTTCAAAATTGGTGGGGCATGCCCTGAACCCCCAAGGATTGTTGTGTATGGTCAATATCATCAGTTACATATACATGTACTTCAAACAAAATTGAGATGATGGAAAAAATTCAGGCTGGCTAGAGCACTACTTAAACATTTTGGAAACAGTCAGACATTTCAGGTAGCATCCACTACCTTTCCTCAGTAACACTGGAGAGTTGTCAGAAAAGCAGGTTTATATCATTAATGCATGGTTTCTAATGTATGGAAAAAACTCATGAATGAGACCATAAGTACAAACTGATTGATATGCAAATACATGAAGAAAATTTTTATGGTTTTGAAAGTCCAAATTAAAGGAAACATTTCCCCGTTTCCCAAATCATAATCCAGTTTCTTGAGTAACTGTTGTTAGCGTATCTCATTACCTGGATGTGTGACCTTCACCGACATTCTACTTTAACCTGTGTACTGTCCATCCAGGTAGGGCGGTACAACCCCATGCAGAGGGCAGCCATCGCAGGCGCTGCCCATGCTGCCCTGCAGCCCTTCCCCCTGCCCAGGATATGTCTGCTGCAGGGTCCGCCTGGGACAGGCAAGTCTCACACCATCGTGGGGCTGGTCAGGAAAATCATCCAGGTCTGTCACCGTGTTCTTTACATCGAGTAAAGAGACTCTTGTAACACAACCAAGTGTTTTATTCAGCCGACGTTTCTGTGACCGTCTGTCACCTTTGTCTGGGCAATTCTGACTCGTTTACATTGCACAGCAGCACAGGTGTCGCTGCTATAGAATCGGATGTATTCCCCAACGTACAATATTTACATATCTACTCATATGCATGATTACAGGGAAATGTATCTATAATGCAGTCCCAAACATGCGGGAGTTGGATAATATACATAAATTGCCTTACCAACTTGATGAAACTATATATATTCATGGATGTTCAGTCATGTTGGATGTTTGTTTGTTTCGCATAACTGGTAAACAGCCTTTCGGCATAACGCAACAGTTTTGTACAGCACGTCAAGCAGCATAAGACTGGACTGAAGGTTTGAAACACTCAACCTGGGAAGAAGATCTTTTCGATAAATGTGGTGCTCTTTAACTGCTAATGATACAGATTTTGCAGAAGAAAAACTTACACATGATTCTACCTATTATTTCCTTTTATTTGTGACATGGAGAATGATATAATCAATTTGTGATGATTGAATATTGCTAAACTTTCTTCTGGCCCCCTCTTCCTCCTCCCCAGGCTGGCAACCCCCCTCCAGATGGCAACCCCCCTGTCCCACCGGAGAACAAGCCCCGTGTGCTGCTGTGTGCCCCCTCCAACGCTGGCATTGATGAGCTGGTACGGCGCATGATCCGAGAGGTTCGACAGGGAGAGGAGGAGAAGGAAAACACCAAGAGGTTTTACACAGGTAATGCAGGGCTCAAAATTCATTTTTGGGAATAGGTGCACTGGTGCACTGAACCTAAAAAATTAGGTGCACAAAAATTTTTTTGGGTGCACCAAATAAAACAAAACCTAATAACAGGTCTTACTGCTCCTCTTCTGAGCTTGAATCTGAAATGGGAGCTAACTTTAAAATCTTAAACAAGTACTACAATAAAGATTTTATTATTTTTCTGACACTTAGATGCCAAGAATATCCTGCATACTATTATACATTTGATATGACACAAAAATACCTACAAATTGGGTGCACTTACAGAAAGAAATTGGGTGCACAGCTCCAATTTTAGGTGCACTAAGGTGCACATGCACCCAGTATTTCTAGCCCTGTAGGGGCATGTACCAGTGGCATTCTTTTAGCTCTGTTACCACATTTAACATTTTTCATGTGCCTGATGCGCTGTAGTGTCCATAGACTGCCCCTGTGATGTAAGTATTTCATGTTTCAAGAGCTCAACTTTTAAACTGCTCATCATTATCCAAAAATTCTAAAAGTATCATGCATGGTACCACTTGTAGTACAATTTTCTTAACTGAAAGTGCATAGTATTACACTTTCAATGGTCCACCCTGATCATGGAATGCTGTATACATGTATGCGAGCGATTTCTAACTTGATTGAAAGTTCTGGTACTAAAAGTTTTTTCAGGGTCAAAACAATGTCACAAATCCTTTTTGTTGATCAGTTTGGAGATTTCATGAAAGTTCATCTGTGTTCTAATGGTAGTTACATGTTTCAAAGAAGCCACCTGACAAGCCTCACTGGGTCAGTATACTAAGTTTTAACTCTAAACAGTTTGGAGATTTGTTATGTTTGATTTTCTTGTCCTGTGCCTGCCCAGGGAACTGTGGGGACTTGAACCTGGTGCGTCTGGGTCGGCCAGCCTCCATTCATCCTGATGTACAGGGCTTCAGTCTGGACAACATCGTGGAGAAACAACTCAAATCCTGTAAGTCTTTACTGTAGTAGTAGAACTACTAACTTCATTGTTACACTAAAAGGTAAAGGTATTACTCCCTGCCTTAGCGTCCTCACTTACAATGTATCACCATGAACTTTAGAAATAATTGTTAAAAGTTGAAGTTTGATTATGTACAACTGACCATCCAGTTATCAGGAATATTTGAAATATTTGTATCACATGGGCCTACCTTTTAATCGTTCTTCTGCTCGTAATTTTTAACTGTTGTGGTGTGGTTGTAGTATGTGTGATTATTGTGGTCTATGTAGTCTTTCTAATGATACTGTATTTTAACTTCCTAATGACTATGTATTTTAACTTCATTATGTGCAATACTATAAACTCTTGATTTTAAAATAATGAAATGTACATTGATTCACAATTCAGTAACTTGTATTAAGGCATTGATCAATAAATAATTATTGAGTCTTGAGTCTAAAGGTAAGTCCCATAACGTTTTTCAAGTTGGAGGGGCAGTGGGTTGTTAATCCACTGTGTCTAGGGCATGGTATTGGAAGTCAAAGCCAATTTCTCTCCTTCCACTGCCTTTTACCTCCCCAACCGTTAGGTCAGGTACACATTTTACACCTGAGTGGAGTGAAGAAAGTCATGTAAAGTGCCTTTCCCAAGGACACAACGTCTTCTTAGGAATGCCTGGAATCGAACCAGTGACCTCTTGGTCTTGTGTCTGCTATCATATCCACTTGGCCTTTCGATGCCATCAAAATTAAATATTGGACAAGGAGAATGTCTTATTATTGTAACAAAATGATAAAACAGACAAAGTCATGTGAAATTAGTATGTTCTGACAGCTTGTATTTAAAATACATGATAGAAGCTTGTGTTTAGAATACATGATAGAAAACAGTTACTCAAGCAACTGGATATGATTTTGGAAACAGGCAGATGTTTCAGGTAGTATCCAATACCTTTCGTCAGTGACACTAGTCAGTGACACTAGAGAGTTCTCAGAAAAGCAGGTTTATAAGTACAAACTATGCAAATAAGGCCACACCAATTCAAAAACAGACCTAGGCATCCTATTATGGCCCAAAATGGTACGATAGGAGCTATGAAGTCAACACACCAGGCTGGTTCAAAATTTAAACAATGAATTTTGAACTTTTAATGATACCACTGCATTGAAAGATGGAATGACTGTAACAAGTAGGAAGAAAAGGACTGTTTTCAACTGTTCAGGGCAAAATATGGGCATTTTGCAGTAATCTGTTGATTCTGAATTTTTTTTTTTTTGAAATCAGAAAAAAAATGAAGCGGGCGAATCCGTTAAACAAGAATTTAAATTGGTGTGGCCTAAGTGAAGACAATTTTTTTGAAAGTTCAAAGAGAAACAAAAGTCAAGACTTGTAACTTTCTTACAGTCACCAAAGAAGTAGAGACCAGCAAGGAGCGTCACATCGTGGTGCAGCTGACAGCGCTGGATGTGAAGATAGCAGACCTGGAGCGGGAGTGTGGCATGCAGCGACTCATGGGGAACACACACAAGCAGAGAGAGGTGGAGAGGAAGAGAGACACACTGCAGGCACAGAGGGACAAACTGGACAAGACAAACAGACAGGTGAACACAGAACAAAAGAAAACAAGAGCCAGTATGATACAAACCTCTGTCAGGGCTCGAAATTCATTTTTGGGAATAGGTGCACTAGTACTAGTGCACCTACCTAAAAAATTAGGTGCACTAAAATTTTTTGGGTGCACCATATAAAACAAAATATGATTAGGGATCTTACTGCTGCTCTTCTGAGCTTGAAATCTTAAACAAGTACTACAAGAAAGATTTTATTTTTTTTTCTGACACTTAGATGCCAAGAATATCCAGTATACTATAATTATACATTACAATTTTGATACGTAAAAAATACCTACAAAAATATTTGGGTGCACCAGTACACATGTACCCAGTATTTTGAGCCCTGTCTGTGAAGTACATGTACCAGTAATCATTCATTGTGTTTGTGGTGTGGGCTAAATTGCTTCGTACCCTCTTTCACTACGGACATGCCAAACTTCAAAATAATTCATAAACTGGATGGAGCTCTAGTTGTAGAATTTAAGCTTTGTTCCAACACAACAGATTTAGAGACACAAATTTTCAGCCAATCTCGTTAACCTTCTTCAGATGACTGATTCACTGTGCTTTTTTTATCTATTTATTATCACATACACAATAAAATATACAAAATATTGCAATTGAAATAAACGTGCAAGGTGTGGAAGAAAAGCAACAAATGTTTCTTTGATATCGTCCCCATCATGATTTTACAATTTCCACAGTTATATCAAATGAAATATAAATAACAATGAAGAATTAATGAAAAGATAATAAACAAGTACAATGAAAAAATGAATAAATCAAATGAAATTATCAAGTTTGGCATACGTAAAGAAAGTTCAATACGGTGAACCAAACTAGATAAATAGGTTTGGCTACAAGGAGATGAAAATATAACAAAATCAATAAAATCAATCTCCAAAGTATTTAACTTCTACAACAGCACTGTGGATTCTATCAACACAGATGAGCTTTTACTTGAAGTGACTCCTTCCTGTGTGTTGTCAGGTCCAGCTGAAGAAGGATGAGTACCAGCGGGAGGGTACACGGATCAGACAGAGGGTTCTGATGGAGGCTGACGTTGTGTGCTGTACTCTCAGCACCAGCGGCTCCAACATGCTGGAACAGGCCATTAGCAAGGCAGGGGTGGCCAGGAGTATCCACTTCACCTGTGCCATCATTGATGAGGTAACCAGTGGGGCCAATTTGACCTTGGTGTGCCAAGAAAAATTCTGAGAGATGTTCTGAATGTATCGACACAAGATATCAGTACTGACTGAAAATTGAATTTATGGTAAATGCAGAAATATACTGTACATTGGTGAAATCACTTAGGCAGAATGTACTGCACCTGCTTCAAACCCGTAATGTGTAGCACTTCAACAGAATGTCTCATTTAAGGTTGTACTCACATTTTCAAGGATGACATCCCGTCTATAGTTTTCAAATGTTGTGTTGAAAAAGATAATGTCTGCAACAGGCAAAATTCTGATGCAATGTTGACCATTTACGTCCAACAAAAAACATGAAAAAATCTGGGTTTCGTTTTAGGCACAGTACATGTTCTACCGACATGCTCTTAGTGAATGTCTTTTCTAATTTCCCATGATAATACGTACATAATTTCATCAGGTTAGGCCACACCGATTTAATTTTATGGATGACATCCGCGCGCGCATTGATTTTCGCCCGATCTCAAAAAAAAAAAAAAAAATCACGTATTCCGAGGCTCTGGCCTGGCTTTAGGCCTGGGTAGTGCATGGTGATGATAACTCTGGTTGACGGCAGCCAGGCTACCGGCAGCCAGGCTACCGAAGCTCCAAGACTCAAGAACTCAGTACATACGTACAGCAGTGTCGATTCATATATTCCGCAAAAATCCAGCATGTGTCGGCCTGTCGTATACGTCGCTATGTAATGCGCCAAATTCACAATACCAGGTTTGTATTCCTGTGGTTTTGTAGCATTTTTATTTTTGGCTGGATTTTTATTTTTTTCGCCCGCGCGCACTACTTTGGGGGTCATCAGAGGATGTCATCCATAAAATTAAATCAGTGTGGCCTTAGTAAAATTTAATTATTGAATAGTAAAGTTCTTCTATTCACAACTATTTGTTTTACGTGAGCCAACATTTCTCTGTCATCTTCATCAGAACTAAATACATTGTGACCCTAAAAAGTAGCTCTAAAAAGCCCTGATGAAGATGACAGATGGTCATTGAAACATTGGCTCATCTAAAACAAATGGTTGTGAATAAAATAACTTTTACTGTTCATTCCTATGATACTGCCTGTACTTGGGAACTGTACCTGACTGTGGTGTGTTTTATTTTCCAGGCTGGCCAGTGTAATGAGCTGGATGCCCTGATGTACCTGACTGTGGTGTGTTTTATTTTCCAGGCTGGCCAGTGTAATGAGCTGGATGCCCTCGATGTAACTGACTGTAGTGTGTTTTATTTTCCAGGCTGGCCAGTGTAATGAGCTGGATGCCCTGATGTACCTGACTGTGGTGTGTTTTATTTTCCAGGCTGGACAGTGTAATGAGCTGGATGCCCTGATGTACCTGACTGTGGTGTGTTTTATTTTCCAGGCTGGCCAGTGTAATGAGCTGGATGCCCTGATGTACCTGACTGTGGTGTGTTATATTTTCCAGGCTGGACAGTGTAATGAGCTGGATGCCCTGATTCCCCTGCAGTACGGCATGTCTAAACTCATTCTGGTGGGAGACCCTGAACAACTGCCCGCAACTGTACTGTCAAAGGTCGGCAATTGAAGGATAGCCTTATATATTGATATGACAATAAAATTCAACTTGTGTTCAAGCCAGCCTGAAATTTTTTTCTGTCATCTCAATTTTGTTTCGATTGATATTGATTGTGGCATCGCGCCGGAGGCACAACATAGTTCGGGGGGCTTGATTCCTTGGGAAAGTTTTGAAATTTTAAATGTTACTTCCTTCATTTTTAGATGGTTAGAACACTGGCTGTTTAACCACTTTGTCATGGAATGCTCTAGATATGCTTACATTACAATGTACAAGCTATTCACATTTCTCAAATCAAGTACATGAGATTTCAAGAGACTGGATGTTACAGACAAATTCGAATATATGGCTATAGATAAATTTAAGTTCATCCTAGAAGGCAATAACCCTTACTGTGTACAAATAGGTAAATATATCAAAGAATGTTTAGACCTTAGAACAAGTAGTATTAGTTGACCCACCTATTGTTCTGTACGTAAGATATTTTCGTTGTACCCATGTATAATTGTCTGTATATCTACATGTCTTTGACCTTACAAAAGTCGCTGTACTTCTTGTTGTGTCAATAAAGTTCTTCTTCTTTATATCTTTAAGTGCAATGATGTACACAATGCAAAAATAGGCAAATATATAAAAGACTGCTTTGTTATTAGAAAAAATACCAGAAACCCATGATTAGCCCTATCGATTGTAACACTACTGGTATGTCGAAGACTAAATATGCTAGCCTTTGTTGTTTTAGTAGTTTGGATTTTAGGCTTCACTATACTTTTTTTTGTGTGTGTTATGTTCAATTTGTCGTGCAATGAAGTCCTCATTTAACAAAGGAAGTTTTCCGGTTACAGAAAGCCCAGGACTTGAACTTCCGTCAGTCCCTGTTTGAGAGGCTGTACCGAGTCTTCAAACCCCGGCCAGACAACCCGGTCCTCATGCTGGACACACAGTACAGGATGCACCCTGCTATCTGTGCCTTCCCCTCACACAACTTCTACTGTGGGAGGTTGAGAACTGACAAGTAAGGAAGCATTTTCATTCATCCTTTCACTCATGGAAATACTTTTTGGCGACGTCTCAGGGAGGAGCCTAATGGTACAGTATTGTGTGCAGTTTGCAATAATTCTAGGAATGGTACAGGCATTTTGTCCACAGGCATGCGAAATGTCCACAGGCATTTCTTTGACCCACATCTATGCCCACATTCCTGGAACCCTTGGGAAGACCTGTCTGCCCCAGATGGCCCTACTTTCTGTGACCCCGGGGCTCATTCACTACACTCTGGGGAGGAGTGCACTGTATCTGTCTAGACTTAAGGCTACCTCAAAATCATGAAATGATGGCAGTGCCATGCAGACAATAACTCAAACAGCAACCACCGTCACCATGGCAATGTATGTTTTCATTGCCAGTCTTGTTTTTCCTTTGAAATTCCCAGCAGATGAGTTCTATGTACATTTGAATCCAGTGTTCTAGCCAGCATCTGTCTTTCCATCATCTAACAGACTTTTGTAGCACATAAAAGACAAAAACTTTTCCCAATCCATCATCTTAGATGGACGAATCAGTGTGTAAAAATATGGAAAGATAATTGTCATTAGACTAAGCCTAGTCTTAATTTGACACTCAGAATACCCTCTCAGTGATACCCCCCTCTCAGTGATACCCCAGTAGGGGTGGTTAGAGAGTACTAAAGAAGAAGAAGAAGAATCCAGCAAATTTAGCATTTCATACAATCATGTAGGGTCAAGATTTCAAAGATTTCATGCCCCCCGGACTCTCCAAGAATCCAGCATACAACATGATTGTACAACTAACAAATTCCAGGCTGACTAGAACACTGTTTGAATGTATAAGCCATGACGATTTTGTGTGACAAACTGGTGCGGCGTACATTTTGGATGTTGATTTTTCTTGTACATGTACGACATTTGCAGGGCTGTGGCTGAAGATCGGCACAGCTGCAGTTTCAAGCCGTATCTTGTCTTCAACATGTTGGACGGACGAGAGCAGGAAAGCCGTTTGAAGGCGGGGTGAGTTGTGAAGGTTGTTGGGACTTAAACTTAACTATTTACATTGCTTTTACCATACCTACTAGTATGTCAGGGACCTGTAGTATATATAATAGTAATCAGGAAATTCAGTGAAAAAATGAATGCAATGAATGAATGAATAAAAGTCAGCTTTCTCAACCAGAATTTGGTCACTTTACTTATAATAGTATGATAGTAAGTAAAGTGACTGTAAGTATGACTCTAACAAGTAGAGATATACATGTACATGATTGTACACATGTATAATGTAATAATACAGGTCTTTATAGTAAGACTGACATAAAATTGTTAGAAATTGAAATACATTTTCAACAATTGCAATAAATACAAATCATGTATCGTAGAGTCGAACTCGCTGCCACCAAGTACAGTTGGGGCATCATCACTATATAGCTTTAAACAATGCCTGCAGCTAAATGTGCAAAGATTGGATGTAACAGGTCATTGGGTGTGATATGTATACCTAGCAGCTGCCGTGCTACGTGCCTGCGAAGCTGGACTGTTATGCAAAGGCGGTTATACCAGCTATACCAATACAGATACAGAATACAATACAGGTGATGATGACTATGGTTCTTTTTTCCCCCAGAGGGATCTATAACCACACGGAGGCAGTGATGGTGGTCCAGCTGGTCATGGCGCTGAAGGAGAACCCCGCCATCGACACTCGTAACATCGGCGTCATCACGCCTTACCAGAAACAGAAGTGGCTCATAGAGACTGAGCTCATCAGGAGGTGGGCTGTGCTCATGTGTCAAACTATACCCATAGTTAGTTTTCTGAAGGAAAGGACATATATAGAATACAACACGGGGTACCCGGTATTCCATATTGCCCCAGGTCTGAATGCCGGAGGGCGACCCAACTCTCGGGAGGGCTGGGACCAAAGGTGATGCGGAATACACTGTGTTGTACATGTATTTTATATACATGTATGTCATAGTTTACCTACCCTAGAAAACATGCCCTTCAATGCAAAATGAGCAAAAATGTTGTGTCCCTAAACCAAAAAATGCAACAACATCAATAACATCTGAAACCTGTATTCCTATTTTTGAAAGCGGCGCATGCAAAATGCGTTTGAATCGTTCTATGGAAGCCCTATGTTCTATGATGATGATGATGATGGAAGCCCGGGCTGCACCATAATGTAGGACCCAGTCCGGAACACCATTGCCAAAGATTATCACGGCCTGGATATGATATAAATACATAAGCCTTTGTACATGTCTAATCTGTTGCCAACATGTCCTGCAAGCTCACTGAGTGACGTGACAGGAAAAGGACACGCGATTTTGGCTTCCTTGTTTTCAGATTTAATATAATATACAATGTATTAACAAGACTTAGTCTTTATACAGTACTCAATTAACTTTCCACACACGTCATGGTTTTCATTTGTTTCTTCCCTGTGCAAAATCCTATAAATCACGTTAAAATTGCAATTAAAGGCTGTGTACATGAGCTTCTACATGACTGATTGTGTTTTATGCGAGAAATTTACACAATTTAAATGAGAATTTCAGAGCATTTGCACCCGTACTGATAAAAAAATGCACAACTTTTAATCCGGTTTTGCACGAATAGATGGGAAGTTATTAAAGTGTTACAGCTAATCAGTTTTTATCCCAAACAGCTTGTAACATGTATCTTTATACCCTTTTCAAAGGTTTTCATGTCCATTTTCCCTTCTCTGTTATGCACAGTGGTAACAATCAGGTTGAAGTTGGCACCGTGGATGGATTTCAAGGTCGTGAGAAGGACATCATCATCCTGTCGTGTGTGCGAGCCTGCAGCAGCTCGGGAAGCATCGGTTTCCTGTGCCACCGGCAGCGCATGAACGTGGCGCTGACACGAGCCAAGTTCTGTCTCTTCATCGTCTGTCATGAAGCCTCGCTCAGGGTAGGTCTTTAATTGTAATCATCATCATCATTGTGGCGTCTGCGTGGTGTAGTGGATAGAACATCCGACTGTCAAGCAAGGGGACCCAGGTTCAATCCCCAGGGCTGGACCCAGACATGTCCGGACATGCACCCAGATGTTGTGCCCTTGGGAAAGGCACTTAACACGTATTTCCCCCTCAGTTAGAGGTTCCTGGGCCCTACTAGGGTTTGGGTTCGCATTAGGAAGGGCATCCAGCCTTAAAAATCTTGCTTCAACAAAAAGACTGTACTTCGTGCAAACACGTCTAACCCCCAGTTCGGGGAAAAATTATGTTAAAACGGTAAAAAAAATTGTTGGTTGACCGTATTGGTCGGGGTTACTATCCCTTACAGGTTGGCATACCCTTTTGTTAGCATTTTTCCGGGTGACTTCACCAACTCCGGATCCAGACAGTAGGATTTTTGACCATCGCACACCAGATCATGCCCCTTCTCTTTTTGAAAATGTGTGGTGGGTTCTCTGGGATGTGACTCTCCCCAAATACTGGACCTCCATTACTGGGGACGCCCCCAACCAAAGCTAGGTACTTATTTTCACCAAAGTGAAGTGAGGAAAATCATGTAAACCGCCTTTCCAAAGGGCACATGGTCTGTAACATGGCTGTGTTTGAACCCAGGACCTCTTGGCTCTGAGTTAAACAGCCAATTCAAACATTTCCATTGTATAATATCAATTTTGTACTTTGTAGCAAAAGCTAACTCTTAAGATGACACGATACAACATTCAATCAGTTAGAATTGTGGAGATGTAATATTTTTGTCCCTCCTTTATAGACCAATCGTGACTGGCAGTCGTGCATGGAAGATGCTCGGAGAAGAGGGCTGCTCGTCGATGTGAAAGGCTTCGGTTCAGAAGAAGACTTCCACCAGTTGGGTCGGGCAGCCCGGCTCAACGTGAAGAAACTCTCTGTCAGGCCTGGCACTTCTCCTAACACTCACCAGGAAAACAGGCAGGAAAAAGGAGGAGAAAATGATGCCAGGCAGAAAAAAGGCAAGGCTCCAAAGGGAAAATCTTGTCCTGAAGACACTGGAAGACTGAAGAAAGGAGGTAAAGAACAAAGAAACAACAGTGACGTCACAGCATGCAGTAAGACAGGCAAACAATGTGAGAAGAAGTTGACAACAGAATGTCATCCCTCGTCTTCAAAATGCAAGACAACGAGTGCAGTCAAGGCCTACTCACAGGAACGTGGGAAGAAAGCAGTAGAGTCTGGTGGGAAAGTGTCTAGTACAAAGTCTAGCAAAAAACAAGCAACAAAGAGCTCTCCTGTCAACAGTTCATCAAAAGAGTCTCACAAAAGACCTACAAAAGTCACCAAGGGCACTTCTGACCACAAGAAGAATGTTGCAGGCAAGAAACACAAGAAAAATGAAAGAACCTCCACAGTAACGACCAAACATGGAACCGCAGGAAGACACGATGGGAAGAAGAGATCCCCAGAACAGCAGAAGAACAAAATGAGCGGATTCAAAATACCGTTGAAGTCAAAATCTGGGAATGTCGAGAAAACGGCTATCACTGCTAGACAGGAGTCTGTTGAAAGCAAGTCAGTGAAAGAAGCTTCATCTGTGAAAGAAACTCCTGCTGCAACAACCTCTTTGAAGGAAACTGCAACAGCAACATCTTCAGTGAAAGAAAGTACCACTCCAATATGTACAGCAAGTACATCGGTAGGACAAGTCTTCCCTCTTGATTCAATCCTTGGTCAGATGTTTGCTACCGCCAAAGAGGATGACGTGGGTGTGAATGGTTTTGACTCGGGTGAAAGAATCTCCAGTGATAAATCGTCAATATGTAACGGCCCAAAGGACGATTCCCACGGCGTTGTAAGTAAGAAGACGGGAGGCACATGTACATTACAAGTAGAAGCAAGTACAACTGGCAAGGCTAACTCTGTAAATGTCACGGGTGCTGCAGAGAGCAGACAGGCACTGAAGAGGAGGGGGGACTCCACAGGGGACACAAATGATGATGGTCCCAGGCACTTCAAGATACCCAGAAAGAACAGCCTGGATGGAGCGCATGGTCCTGCAAGTTGTCCTGATTGGAGTAAACCCTCCAGTGGCCAAGTGAACAATAAGGGACCTGTGGGACATACAGAGCAACGTGCCAAAGTAGTATCAGACTCACAACTTGCTGGTCACAGAGCTGGGTTAGTGGGAGGGCAGGATTTGGGTCAAACACAAGTGAACCATCTTCACAGAAGGGAGCATGCAAAACACACACCAGAGCAGGGACACAGCTCTAAAACCCGGTATACGATGGTGACCAGGACCGACTCATTCGGAAGGATCGTCAGGACCAGTTGGACAAAGTTGAAGTCGGTGTTGAAGTCGCCCACCCGGCGAACATCTAAGAGACTGAACGTGAAGTTTGACCCCTCTATCGTGAACACCCCATCCAACACCAGAGAGTTAACAAACTACTGTGGAAGTTACGAGGCCAGGATGGCAGAGATGAAGTCTCTTTCAAACACATCGAGATCTGGGGTGGGGTCATTTGTGCCCGACGAAAGAGACGCTTTCCAAAACACTGGAACTCTGTCGGTTACTGTTAACCTACAGTCAGGGCACAGAGCTACACAATTACCATCCTCAGAACTACCACAACTCTCCACTACTCAGTCTCAGGACAGATCATCCAACCATAGTTTGAGAGGCGATCCAAGCAAGGAGGCTGCAGTTAGCCATGTGAGGACAGGGGGCAGCTCTACAGAGTCTGGTGAACAGACAAGGCCGACATCCAGTCTTCAGATGACCTCTAATGCTTGTCCAAGATCAGGGGCTCAGGGCAACCGAATCAGTAACTTCCTTCCCACATCAAGCAGCTCACTTACATTCCAGAACCAAATAACGTCGTCCAGGCTTCACAGGGAGAGAGGGGAGGACAACAGGAGCTCGAGTACGCACTTGAACTATCCGAGTATCGTCACAGGCCAGTTTGCCAGGATCCCACACAGCAGTGGCACATCCGTGGCGGTGGGAAACGCAACAGGGTCGAGGGGTCCCACACGAGACCCGCGCCTCGCCCGCAAGTTAGATCGTGCCACACAGATCCTACCTCCTGGGTAAGTAGAAATACTGGTGCTCCAGAGCATACTTTTTTTGAAATCCTATAATAAATAGTCAAATTTCTTCCAAAAATAATTTTATCAAGTTGGTACATGTAGAACATACATGTAGGATATTGGGATTTTCTTGTACACAACCAGGGATTCTTCCTACACCTTGTTTACATAAGTAAGCTAGGAAGAATCCCTAGCTTCCCTAAGAAGTCAAATTTCTTTTTTCAATGTGCTGTGTAACTACTCCAGAAATGTGCACTGAAATATCCACTAACAAAATATCCCTAGAAAAGATGACAGTAAAAATATGCAAGGAAATAAGTCTAAAAAAGTGGGATGATTGACGTATACCGTAATACATTGTATTTGATTTGTTATCTTGAAAGTTCATTTGGGTTGGTAAAAGTCATTTGAAGCAAGTTTAAACCATAAAGTTGGACTTACCAAAACTTTCAACTGTACAACTCCGGTCTTTGTCAAGGAATGAGCAATCCACCGCTTCTGTGACGTCACATTATGCAGAATATGATCCACTGTTAACAGAGTCATGTGTATAATGTGACGTCACAGAAGCGAGGGATTGCTCATTCCTTAATACAGATTAGAGCTGTACAGTTGATAATTTAAAAAATTTAGGTAAGTCCAATTTCTTGTGTTAGAAATTGCTAAGTATTTTGAATTTCTAATTTTTGAAGCATGACAATGTGTTTATACACCTTGTGTTAAGTAATAAAAAGTTATGTGATATAAACATGGGGAATAACATAATGTTTCTGTTGACACAGGTCATTTGCAGGTAATCAGAAGCCAAAGAAAGACCGGTCACGTGTCTTCATGGATTGATGTCCAACTGATACATAGGATCAAGGATACAAGGAAAATATTTAAAGTTGCAAACTCTTATTTGTTTCATTCCAATTGTGCCATATCCTTAAAGTATGAGCCACTATATGGTGGTGAATCTGAACATTTGTTATGTCTAAACAATAATAATATAGTACAGATCTCAAATAACTTCCCATCTTGATCCCGATCAAAAGTTGTTCCAAACGTTAACTGGTTAACCGTCTTGCATTTCTTGATTAAGAAATTAATTGGGCTCATTTCTCGTGCAATTACAAATTTGTTGTAATTGCACGATAACCACACACGATTACAGCTAATAAATGCACATGGTTGATATGGCTTTGGCATGAGCTTTAACTGCATGTTACACAGCTTTTACATGGCTTTCAATCGCAATTTAAATGCGATTTTGCATGAGAAGTACTGTAAATCACATTATATTCGTGGCACTTTTATATTCCCGGTTTTCACGGTCACTTCTGTGCATCAAATTCATCATTACCACAAACAAATAATTCCCAGACTTTCTTTCTTCTGCACCTGCTGCCACCGCGAACATGTCCATTTTTTTAAACCTCGAAATTTTACTACATTGAATATAAAGTGATTTACAGTAAACGAGTTGAAACCATGTGTTAAAACATGTGGGAAGGGAAGTTAGTCGAAATCTGTACTGTAGCCATTGTCAATCCATGCAGGTATTAATAATAATTATGTTTTTAGTCACATTTGTTGCATTTGGACTCATGTTGTAGTCCATGTACTAGTGCTAGGATTTCTAGTTGATTGAACAGCTGATTGCTTAATACCATTTTGTTGTCATTGTATCTATTAGGTTTCATAATTATATTAGTTAAGTCAAGCGAATATTATGATGCAACGGTATGAACTTCCCTCTATATGTAGCTGATGAGCATTAACCTGTTGAGCATTGGCATTACTAGCGATTTGATTCTTCGCAAATATTATAAGGACTTAATAATATTTCATTAATCAATCTATACTACTGGACAAAAATGTTTCATTCCAGGATGCCTTACCTTCATAAATGTATTATAAGCCACACCAATTTAATTAATTGTTTCTCAGATTTTTGTAGAAAAAATATGAAGCGACATGGCAAAGAGCTATCCATCCTATGATAGCCCCAAATGCTACAATAGGAACATGATGTCAACATACCAGGCTGGTTTGTAATTTAAACAATGAATTTAAGACTTTTAATCAAACCATTGCATTGATAGATGGAAAATCTGTAACGAACTTGTAAAGACAATGACTTTTTTTGTCTTGTTTCTCTGTCTTATTCGCTTTTTTTTTTTCAAATCAGAAAACATGAAGCATGCAAATCCAAGAACCAACAAATTGAATTGGTGTGGCCAAGGACTACTTTTGGTTGAAGTTTAATGAAAAATGGAACACATGAAAATGTGTTTGAACATGATTTTGATAACATTATCAAGTGCCATATTGATAATACTTTCTTTCCAAAGAGCCTTGGATTTATTCTCAATTTTCAGTGAAAAAAATAAGTTGGTGCATAAAGTAAGACTGTGAGTATTCACATATTCAGTTGGCAATGAAAATATACTCTTGGCCAGTACCTAAATAAATCAGCCTTGTTAATGTATAATCATAGAAAATATTCAACCACTTTAATAGCATTTCTTGTTTCCTCTTTGAATTTTACAAATGGAAAGTAAGAATCCATTCAAGTCATATGGTAAACTGTGGAAAAAATATGTGATTACTAAATACATGTTTACGTTCTATAGTAGCAAGTTACTTTATTAAAGGAGCATTATGTAACATTTTTGCACCAAAAATTGAAATATTTTGTTTAAAGAAATATTTGTGTGATTGTAAGTTACTTCCACTTATTTGTGCAATTATCTCACATTTCTGACCTTTATGGTTGACGCTTAAACAATTAACCCACAAGAGGTGCAATCATTTGTGGTGCCACCACAAAATACCAGGCTGTAAACAAACATGGCTGACAGCTGTGTTTCCAGCTTTTAAGCACTTTTGTATGGTGTAATATTTTAGCACCTCCACTTCCTAATTATTTGCAATGGAGTAGTGTTGATTCAGGTTACTTCTGAAGAAATGACCAGAAAATTTACTTTTGTACCATTCTAGTGTCACATACATGTAATGAAGCCTAAGAAATTAAGATACTTAATTTCACCTTTTTATATAAATTTTGTTACACTGAAGAGAATGGTGCTGTATGTCAGAATCTCAGGAAAGCACCAGGCTGTATAATTATTCATTATGCTGGTCAAAACATTTGCACAACAATTGTTCAGATTTCTTTGTTGTTCTGTCTTGTGTATATACATTCACTATATGGGGCAATGATATTAGTACTACATGTGCCTTATGTTTTGCTTTTTTAATATTTTGTTATACAGATGTTTATGGAGAAAAGTCCACATATTATGTTCTAAATCTAATTATTAAAATGCAGTTTTCTGCTCATTCATTGTGTATTGTCCATATTAGTTTAAACTATTTGTAACGTAAGTCATATAATGTTATAATACAGATATTGAATAAGGCCGGTGGAAAACAGGCCAACAACTGAGGAAGACAGCGACAAAACTATCTCTTTTATGCCATCTCCCTTATGCAAATAAGGTCCTGATTTGAGTAAGTTATGTTAACGATGTTTACCTTCACGTAATTTCCAAATGCTGACAAGTGTGAACTTCCCAGATAGGCTGTTACCACCATGGAATGACAGCATTTTCTCACTGATTACCACGTGTATGCAAATTAGGTCCTCATTTACATATTAAGTTCTTATTGTACCCCAAAATAATAAACCAATAAATCATTATGTAACTGCAACTTTGACGTCGCTAATAACCTGTCTCATTTCAAATATTACAGTTTTAAATTAAGATTCAATCCACAGGCGTCGTGGGTTTCCTGTAACTTGTATGCATACCTTATATGCCGTATCACTTTGTATATAAGTAAGTAGTTAATGTAATAATCATCGTATGCTGTTCTTGGTCTCGGAAGGGCCACCTCCAATGATACTAGTAAGTCAAATCATTGTCAAGTTAAGTAGTAGAATATGTAGGTCTGCGGATTGGTAACTGTATAATTCTTTAACGGGTCGCCATCCAAGTAATTGTAAGCTTTAAAACGACGCACTTCCTATATATTGTGTAACCTTACATATTACCTCTACTTAAAATGTTTCTTTATAGTATTGAGCAGCTGCAGTATGCCTGCGTCTATATTTTCCTAGATGACAACTGTAATATGAAACAGGGCCAACATAGGCCAGAGATGATACCCAAAAAGTGCAAAAACGCTCAAGGTGACATTTAGTATTCCTTATAGTTTTGCCTCAGCACGAACAGTAGTATGAGATCCAGATATTCTTGACTTTCTGTTTACACTTCCATGTATACCGTTGCTTAACTTGATATGCAAAATTGTAGTAAAAAAAGTAAACTAAACTGTGCCAGAAGATATTTGGTTTTCAATGCAAAATTCGACGGACGTTTGAGGAGCTATCCTGTCGACGCTGCAAACGTACGAAATCAGCGTTTGTCAAGAAGTCTGTCAGCTCCTCCTCTGTAGGACTGTAGTCCTCTTGGATGGCGGACGATGACCTCTCCTTTCCCCGCCACCCGCCTACCCAGGACTGCAGCCTCTCCAACATCAGGTCTGCAACCTGCTCAGTTTCAGGCTTCTGCTGGGAATTCTCTTCCGCAACCTGATGGTACAATCAACATAATACTAGTATCATAACATGATGAAGCTATGTTGAGCTAAAGCCAACATGCACAGCTGTGCAGATTTTTTTAAGGTATAGTTCTGTACAAAGCTTTGCAATTCCTTTTCCCAATAAAACACTTGACTATTATGATTTGACCGTATAGAACAATTCCCAATACAACAGACCACATATATAATTTGCTTTGGTAGACTGTTTGACTATATACTTAGTATACATACAGCTTTACTAAATCAGTATGAAGGGGGAAAGGGAAAGAAATTAAAAACAAGCATGCAAAAAGAAGCTCAAATTACATATTTTAGTAGTATTTATTATATATTCGTGTGTCACTGACAGATTGGTACTTGGAAATTACATCGCGGTTTTCCTATATTTTTGATGGAAAAAAACATACGAAAGACCAAAGGCTACATATTCATAGTAAAGAGTACCTACATGGAGCAAAACATTGTGGTGAAATTAAGTGCCAGAATTTACTAACCTGATACGTGTATTAAAGATATATAACATACAGAAACATACAAAACCTAATTCGTACATACATGAAGTATTCTTAAGTGTGACAGATTACAAAGAATGTTCGTCTCAAGCATTACTTACACTTTGGAGAATAATGCATGACAGAAATAAAGTTTCTTGTTCAACCATGCACTCTTGAAAAATACTAACCTCATGTATGGCACCGTCTAGGATAGCAACAACCATGGTGAGGATGACCCATTGGAAGAACGTGATAAACGTGAAGGTGAAGAGCGGTCCCATGACCGTCTTGGCGTCTGACAACTCATAGAACTTCCCCAGTAAAAGCGTGAACATCGTTTCCACGGTGGCGACGAAGGGCGAAAAGCCCTCCTCCGTAGAGCCGAAAACGAGAAAGGCGAACGTCGCAAAAGCGACGAACACTATGGTAAAAATCAAGAAGAACCCGGATAGTGGTCCGGCTGCCTTCTTCATGGTATCTGGAAAGGAACGTGTAGGAGGGAGTCAGAACTGTTTGTTTGAAACCTTAGACACGCTGTTGGTGTTGGTCTCCAATCAACCGAACAAGCAGCCAACAGCAATTTGATAATCGATAAATTGACGGATCTGGTTAGGCAACATGTCAAGAACATAGCTAGGATTCTGACTTCCGAAAGTCTGTTAAAGTCATACTGGGAGGGGGGGGGGTGTTCCACTCCCTTCACTTGACAAAACAGTGGATACGGTGTGTCAACGAATCGGGCATAGAATCACATGCTGGTTGTGAACGAAAGAAGTTTCAAGTAAAGTTACCGCATGCATGCGTGTAGTGATTTAGCGTATTGGCAGAAGTAACATCGTGTCTCATAGAAAAACAGCTACTTTAAATGACAATGACAATGAACTTTATTGCATATTCACGCCCTACATGGGCCAAGTGCACTAAGTTAGATAACTTGGGTACAGGTATAGAAGAAACAAGTGTTACATTTTTGTTACTTCTCTATCTACAGAATCTATCTACAGGATCTCTTCTCTCTTTTAAAGTTGTTTTTTACCTGCGCCGAGAACAACGTGCTTGTTGAACCGCAGGAGATGCAGCAGTTTGAGTGTCCCCACACAGACCAAGCAGCCCAGCACGTACGTGTTGATCTGGTCCCAGTACGCAGCTCTGCGGTACTTCTCAAACGGTCTCTCAGCTGACTCTGTAGAAATCGTGGTAATTTCCTTCTTATAGGACATCAAGGACTAAGAATTTCACAAATTCCATATAGTATCTGACAACAGTGGATCTATCGGCTGAAATGTCAAACATTGATCTAAACAATTGCTATTTCCAGAAATACGCATTAGCAATTATTTTGTAGGGTAAATTATTCACTCTAACATGCTAGTAAGGTCTTATATGTGACATAACAGTTTCACAACGAGATTGTACATGACTTACCCGTATTTGTCCCTTGCTTTGACTGGAACTCGAGGATAATGTACAAGGTGTACAGCATGACCCCGACCTCGGCTAGAGAGAGGAGCGCCAAACTCAACTCTACACAGCCCCAGAAGGTCTTCAAGTACAAGCTCCGTAGCTTCAAAATCAAGTCCACTGTAATAAAAGAGAGGAGTTATACGTCAACTTGAGGCCAGAAATAACATATCAGGTCTTGCCGAGGCGTATATTAGCTGAATGCTAATCCCATAATTTTGTGCTATAACAACGTTACATAAAGTCATACTAATCATGTCCAAACCCAGATGTTTGTTGTTTGAAATACGTATGTCCAAATTGGAGTCAATATCTGCAAGGACTCGGACACTTACAGTAGTGTACCAGCTGGTGTTAGCATTGAATGTGCAACCTTAACAGACAAGAACGTAAGAGATATCATATGTGCACTCACATTCTCTGAAAACGAAGT